ATCCTCAGACACATAACACTTGCTAGCTGTGTGACCCTGGGCAAGTCACTTAACCCCATTGCCTAGCAAAAACAAAAAACAAAACAAAACAACAAGAATATTCTCGGATTCACCCTTCCTGCCAGGTTAGATAGGGCATGCTCAGATATTCTCTGTCTGTTTGTAATTGGCCATTTCAGACCTTGAATGTAGCCTCCTCGTGGCCATGTCTTGCACTGGGATTTTCTTAGGCAAGTGAGTAACCTGAGACAGAAGTATCCAGGCAGCTTTGGGAACTCTGATATGTCCAGACATCCTGGGAAGTCTGGAGGAGGCAGCCGCAATATCCTTTGGCACACAGTAACGGAACCCACCAGCAGAGGGCAACAGCGGCTAATGGCAGAAGAAACATGGGAAGATGGGAACATAGTGTCAAAAGATAGTTAAGAAAGGTCTTGTAATAACAAGTCTACTTCTGGAGTTGCTCAGTTGGAGATGCCTACTAGACATCCTTTTAAAAATCCATGCCTCTTGGATTTCCATTTCTCCGCCCTTCATCTCCTACTCCCAATTCCCAGTCCTTTGTCCAAAGATGCAGCTAATAATCCCCTATATGGTCTTTATCCCCACATCTTGTCATCCCTATCAAAATGTACATCTTTTGCTTTGCAACTGAAGCTGTAATTTCATTTGTATTGGGAGCTCCCTGCAAGGACACTTTCCCTGCCAATATAGATTTAGCATTTGCTCTAAAGTTAATAGTGATGAGGACTTGTGTGAGCTCCTGGAGTTTAAGTGACCTGTCCAAGGTCACACAACCAGTATGTGTCAAAAAGCTAGATTTCTGCCTGGCTGCCTCTTTGGTTAATCATTCTAATTAGGCAGCTGATGTTTTTCAATATTACTCCTGTCTTGCCACTTCCACTTGAGGACATCAGTTTGTCTATTCGGAACTGTAGGCTTACACAGAATTCATCTGAGAGTGTTTGGTACAATGTGGACAGCAAAATGATGGATGCTGAACTAAAAAAAAAAAAGGTGTTTTGTTGATAAAGAGGGTATCGATTAGATGGGGGAAAGAGAATAGATTTAGAAAGGGAAGGGACCTTACAGATATGTCCGATCACTTTATTTAACATATGAAGTAGCTGAGGCTCAGAAATATTAAAAGACTTGCCCAGGGTCACATAGCTAGCCAGGATTTGAGGCAAGATCAAATTCACATCCTCCTAATTCTAAGTCCAGGTCTTTATCTGCTATGTCATACTCCTTGGAGGTTAGGGAGTGGTACTGTTCATCTGGTTTGATGAAATAGTTCCTCTGTCCTGTAGAAGGGAGAAAGAAAGAGGGAAGGATAAGGAGAAAAGTGAGCTATGAAAACAGTGGGTAAAAATGATTGAAAAGGTAGTGATGAAAGGAGAGGGGGAAGAGAAGGGACAAGATGAAGGGATGAAGAGATAGAAAGAGGAAGAAGAGGAGAAGGGATAATTTACCTAGACTTTAATAAATCATTTGATGAAGTATCTCATTCTGTTATCATGGAGAAGATGGAAAGATGTGGACTCGGTGACATTAAGGTAAGACAGAGAAAGAGTGGATGGAGAGAGGGGAAGAGAGGGAGGAAAGGGAGAGGGAAAGAGAAAAAGGAAGATTAGCTGTGACGGCAAGGAGGTGGGGAAGATAGGAAAAGAAAGAGGAGAAAGAAGAAAGGGAGGAAGAGGAGGAATTAGGGAGAGAAGAAAAGAGTGGGAGAAAGGAGAAGCAAAGAGGAAAGGGAGAAAGGAGAAGAGGGGAGAGAGGAAGGTGAAGAATGGGAAGTAGAAAAGATGAGGGGAATGGGGAAAGAGGAGAGAGGAGGAGGAAAGGGAAGGAGTGGGAAGAAAATAATACAGAGAGGGAAAAGAGGGAAGGAGGCAAGGAGATGGAGAAGAGGAAAGAAGAGAAAGGGGAAAAGAAGAAAGGAGAAGAGACGGAGAGAGAAGGCAGCTGGGGAGAGAGTGAGGGGAGAGGGCAACCAGGATTTCTAGAACAGGAGTGAGAGGAAACCAGGCAGGAGGAGGGAGAGGGGCATGGCCACGGTGGGCATCATTCCTAGCGTCCCTGGTCCCCTCTTAGCTATCCTCCGCTCACCCACGTGCCTCTCACCTCTGTGCATTTCCCGCCTCTCACCCCTCCCAGCCCCTCCCCGCCATCGACAGGCCTGTCCATTAACTGGGCTCTCATTGGCTGGCCCTACAATCCACATGCCCGGGAACATAGCAATTATTGCGCTTGCCTGGCGCCACCTAGAGGGAGAGCCGTAAAACTTTGCTGCTTACACCAGACAGAGTTGGTGGTGGCGCGGGAGGGGGAGGAGAGAAGACAGTGGTCTGCGCATGGGCAACATGCCAGGGTGGGGAGGGGTGGGGAGTTAAAGTCTGCCTCCTGCGCATGCTCAAGTCTTTGCAGTGCAAGTCGCCGAGAGGTTCCGGAGGCTCGTGAGACGTGCGCATGTGCTATGGATCCACGTTGGGACTGCTAAAGTGGGGGAGGGGGAGTGGAGGCGAACTTGAACTTGACGTTCTTCCAGCACCCCTCTGGACCCCGAAGAATGTGCCCCGGCCAGCTCTGGGCCTCTCAGCCTTTCCCCCGCCTCCAGTGTTGCCTTTCGTAAGGTTTGCTACCGTATTGAAGGTTATAAATCAAACGCTGTTTGCTGCCTATATATAAAGCGCACCCCCAATCCAAAGTTCTGAGGGTTTTTCTTTTTTTTTTAATGGAATTTCCATTTCTCCTTTACGTAATCCCTCCCTCCACCAATTCCCCCAGCCCCATTTACCTTTGTTCTGTAAATACCCACCTAATTCTCATCCCTCCTTGCTCCACTGTGTCTAACATACCAATAGATGGGGTGGGGGGAGGTGAGAAGAATAATAGTAGTTCTCATTTCTACGGCTCCTTCTTCTTTACCTCGTGCCTGTTTTGTATCGCGCCGAAGAAGTTCATTGATAATCCTCACCCTGCAGAGGAGAGACCCTGAGGCTCAGAGACCGCAAGTGACTTGGCCAGGGCCACACAGCTATCCTCAAGCCCAAGTCTTCTAACTGCAGCTGGCTGGAAAAAAAAAAAAAGATGTACTCCTTCAACTCTGCAAGGGGGTGAGGGGTGCATGAAAGGTTGGACTAGGGGCCAGAGAGACCTGGGTTCATATCCTGCCCCTTCCTCTGTGTGGCTTTCTGGACAAGTCCTTAAACTCTCCACCTCAGCCTCTTCATCTGCAAAATGGGGTAGTCATAGTGGTAGCATCTACCTTCACGGGATTGTTGTGTGACTCACATGCAAAGTGGTTGCAGACCATGTGGCTCTAAAAACACTGGAGATTACTGTAGATAAGCAAGTTGAGGTCCAGAGAGAAATGACTTGTCCCAAGAGTTAGTTACAGAGCTGAGATTCAAACCCAGATCTTCCCGAAGATCTAATCCTCCCTACTCCACCAGGTTTATTTTAGGCCGAACAAGTTGTGGAAGGTGAGGGAGAGAGAATGGGGAGGCAATGGGAACAGGGCCTATGGGGGCTGGTGGAGGTGAGGAGAAAAGTTGAAGGCACAGAGGTATCAGAAGATTTAGAAAAGAAGAGGGCTTTGCTGATCATCTAGTCTATTTCGTCTTCACCAGTGAGGAAACTGAGGCTGAGAACTTAAATTGTTTGAGATCACACTGGTTAGGAAGATGAGAGCCTGCATAGGATCGATGGAAGGCATGAAGAAAAGGGCTAAAAGTAGAGAATAGAAGATGAAGAGAGAGTTGAGGGCGCAAAAGGGTTTAGAGGAAAGAAGGAAACAAGTATTTATTAAGCTCCTACTATGTGCCAGGCATTGCATAAAAGCAATTTATTTACAAATATCGTATTTGATCTTTATAATAACCCTTAGAGGTTGGTGCTGATATTTTCCCCATTTGAGGAAACTGAGGCAGAGTTAAAAGACTTGCCCAGGTTGCACAGATAAGTGTCTGAAGTTGAATTTGAACTCATGCCTGTCAACATTCCCCCCAGTGCTGTATCCACTGGGCCACCTCAGTGTCTCTTGGGGACCCTAGTGAAGGGTGAGAAGGGAGTTGGAGGTCAAGTGGGGGCTGAGGGATGGATGTGATGGTTGGTGGAGCATAGGGGGTTGAGAGAGTAGGGAAGAGTTGGCTGTGAGGAGATTGAGGAGTGTGGAAAAACTAGGGGGCTGCTTGGGGGAGGAAAGGGGGTTGAAGGAGGTGGAGTGGTTAGTGGTACAGAGGGGGTAGAGTCAAAAGGAAGAGCTGGGGATAGAGGGGATTGAGAAAAGTGGGAGTGGTTGGGGGCACTAATGGGGTTGATGGGGGTGAGGACAGTTGGCAGTGGGGGTTTTGAGGGAGGTGAGGGAGGTTGGGGGATGAAGGAGGAGGACCTGGGGAATAAGTGGAGGCTGAAAGAGGCAGGAAGGCTGGGGGGGGGTGTTGGGAGGCACAGAAGGATTTAAGGAGTTAAGGAAGATGGCGGTGACTGGGGGCACAGAGTGGGTTGAGGGAGGTGAGGTGGCTGGGGCGCAAAGGGAGATGAAAGAGGTGAGGGTGTTTGGGGGCTCAGAGAGGTTTAAGTGGGAGGTGCCTGGGGGCGCAGAGGAGGCAGAAGGAGGTAGGAAAGCCAGGGAATGGTTGGGGTGTGTGGGGGATGAGCGAAGTAAGAAAAGGATGAGGGGCGCAGAGAGGGAAGTGGGACTGGCAGAGGTACGCAGGCGAGCTGGGGGAGGGGGTGTGTCTGTGCTGGAATGGGGGATGGGGGTGGAACAGTGGGGCGCCCCCTCCCCCTCTGTTCTACTCCCCCCCCCACTCTTGAATGACGCTTCCTGTGGCCAATCCCTGAGGCAGAGTGAAGCCGGGTCCGGGGGGCGGCCAATGATTCAGCGAGGGGCGCACTAGGGGCGGGGCTGGGGAGGGGGCGCCTGAGACCGTGGGAGGGGAGGGACGGGAGGGGAGGGGGCGGGGCCCGGGGCCGCAGCTTCTGCAGTGGCGGAGGCGGTGGAGGAGGTAGAGGCGGCGGTGGCAGCGGCGGCAGTAGTCATGGATCGGGGGCTGCAGAGATCCAGGTATGGGAAGAGGGCAAGCCCGAGGGGGAGGGGGTACCCTGGAGCCTGCTCTCGCCCCCTTGCAGCTGCCAGGGTGCGCAGGATCTACCCTAACTCCTGAAGACCCTGGTCAAGGGGCGCCCCCTTCTGGGCCAGTTGGAGATGGGGACCCCCGTATCAAACCTTTCCCAGCCTTTTGGGAACCCCCAGGAGGGGGGATTCATTTCCCTCTGGAGTCAAAGGGGTGAAGTCATCTCCTCTTTCCCCCAGATTAGTATGTCCCAGGCTTGGAGTTGCTGTGGGTGGAGCTGAGATCGGGTTCCCCTTGGAATTGCAGAGCAGACCCTTTCGAGCAGCGCCCTGGGACCCCCAGGGGGAAGAATAAGGACTTCTCCCTACTTAGGGCCTAGGAGGATGAGGTTCCCCTCTTCCTATTACCTAGAAATTCCTCCTAGCTCGAAATATCCTATGTATGGGGTCCCTAGAGGAAGAGGCTGATATTTGGGCAGCCCTTGTAATTAGGATTAGGGCCCTTTAAACAGCTGTCAGTGAACCCCATGGGGGAACAGAATCTGGGTTGTAGATTGGAATCTTCCCCACTACAGCCAAGAAGAAAAGACTATCCTTTCGTAAGAGTCAAACTCCTCACCTTTCTATGCCCATCCCCACCCCTATGACCAGCTTTTCCAAAAAAAGGGAGGGCAGGCTCTAGGACTCCTTGGGTTTGTGGGGACCCTTGGAGCACTTCCCTGGGATCCCTTTAGCGTCAGGGATGTGGCCCACTCAAGTGGTCCCCCAAGGACCAATATGGGGGGGGCTGAAGCATTTCTGAAACGCTGGGCTTGGAGATAGGTAGCAGTCTTGCCTTCTTCCTCCAGCTTAGTCTCTTCTTTAGGGGCATCAGAGTTGGGAGGGGGACGCTTGAAGCTCATTCTGTAACATAGCAGGTGCAGCAGAATGGGCGTGCCTAAGCCAGATAGTGGGGTACCTGGTGCCAACAGCAGCTTACCCAAGGGGTCCCTGTTCTGGGGCTCTCCAGGCTCCACCTCTTCCCCCAGCGTTTCCTGGCCTGGTTAGATCTCTTCCCATGTTGTAGACATCCCCGCCCCTACTGTCCACCCTCCCCCCCCATCCTGAGCCTTGGCTCTCACCCTGGCAGGGAACACCCCCTGGAGGGGGGAGGCAAGCTTGGCCCCTCCCCTGGGCGCCCGGGGCCTGGCTGGGTGCAGCCCCACCCACCCTGCCTCTTGGCTGAGCTGGGGTGTCTCTTCCCCCCAATCCACCCCAGAGCCCAGCCCCTTCCTGTCCTGTCATCCACCCCCCCCATTTCCCCTACCCTTTGGCTGCCGCCACCCACTCACAACTCGCACTCAGGGCCAGGAACGGCTTGTTCTCTCTTGGCTTTGTTTACCCTCAGCCTAGGCCCCCTGGACGGATGGGAATTGGGGGCACAGGCACCATTCTGGGGGGAAGGAGGCCAGGGATAGTCCTGAAGGCTGCCCCGAGTGGTGGGGATCCAAGCAATGGTAAGTGGGCCCTGGGGAGGTGGGTGGATTAGTGGTCTCTTTTTTTCTATTTCCTCTCCCTCTTTTGAATGATAGGTACCTCCTTTAGGTAGGGAGGGAGGAATGTAGTGAAGGGCTCTCCGGTGGGCACAGTGCCCAGGGGGGCAGGCCTGGCACTGGTTGCTGGGAGAAGGAGCTGCCGCCCAGGAGATGGAGATCCCCTGGGGTGCCCGTCTTCCTTCTGAGATGCTGGGAAAATGATGTGCCTGCCGATCCCATTAACCCCTTCCATGGGGCTGAGGTGATATGCCCATCTCCAGGAAGACTGTAGGGGTATCTAGGGCACCTAGCCCACCTTGGGTGTTCTCTGTAAGCCCATTAGTGGTTCCTGACTGTCAGGACTAGGATGTAGCATAGGACCCCCTAAACCCCCGGGCCCCAGGAAGTCAGCTTAACCCCCAGCCCACCTCCTTCGGCTTCAGGGTCACACACCAGGGAATAGCCAGGGCTTAGAACTGTGAGGAGCCCCTCCACCACTTTTTCACTGGTCTTTTGCCCCAAGACTCTTGTGTTTCCATGTGGGGGAGTTTGTCTTTCCTTGTTTGGGGATGAGTGAGAGGCAGCCCCCTCCTTGCCCTTCCCCTCTTTCCCTGGCCTCTGCCAGGGGCCTCCCTGACCCCGCCTCCTGTTCTCAGCTGGAACATGGGGAGGGCTATGCCCCCCCCCAGCTGCACGTCCCAGCTGGGCACAGGGCCAAAGAGGCGGAGAACAGCCAGGCTGGGAGCCAGGCAGGGAGACCAGCCAGCCTGGGGAGGAGAGGAAGCCAGGGTGGGGTGGAAAGGGGAGTGTCTGGGAGAACTGACAGTAGGATGGGTGGGTTTCCTGGCCTGATGGACTCATGCACCCACACCCACACCAAGGCGTGGATGCATACACAGAGACCCACGTGGGTACACACATGATGGCATACTCCAGCCCAAAACTACTGACACCCAGCCACTGACTCAGGACAGGCTGGGGAGGGGAGACCCAGACCCTTGGGGGAGTACAAAATCAAGCGTCTGTGAGGATGAAGTTTATGGGGTAGGGTGGGGGCGGTCCATCTGCAGAGCCCTGCGTGTGAGTGTGAGGGGCTCAGCAGCACCTCAGATCTGATGCTGAGATTCTCTGGGAATCCTCTGAAAGTGTAGAACGTGGGATGTCCCTGAGAACCTAGAACATTGTATATCAGTGCTGGGAGTCCCCTGAGAACCTAGAACATGGCTTGGCCAAGCTGGGAGTCCCCTGAGAACCATGACTATGTCATGTCAGTGCCAGGAAGCCCCTGAGAACCCAGACTATGAAGGCTGGGAGAAATCTCAGCCCAGAGACCAATAGGGCCTACTTCCTGCTAAGGTTACAGTGTATTTTCTTTCTCCACAACCACCCTTCTACTTAGATACTTTGTTTTGCTAGCCCAAATCTTATTGTCTTCCTTTTTAGAGGGGAAACTGAGGGTAAAGATTTCAAGCCAGTGAATGACATGTCCAAGGTCACACAGCTCCCTGGGATCCCCCCTCCAGACGTGGGGGGGCTCCTTCAATTTCTACCCTTCTGCCACCAGACTAAGCTCCTCTGGACCCACCCCATCATGCTGCAGGAGGGGAAACTGAGGCCAAAACTTGACCCGGGGGGCTTGACACAGACCCCCCAGGGTCTGCAGTCTAGTCTCCCCCACCCCCATTTTACAGATGGGGAATTTAAGGCCTGGGGAAGTACAGTGTCTTCCTCAAGGTCACTCAGGTAGTAAGTAGGTGGCTAAGCTAAGGTTCCATTTATCGGATGATTCCTCCCAGCCTTTCTAATTCTGGTTGTGCCCCACCTCCCTGCTGGGCCCACAGCTGCCAGAGGGGGCAGGGCCTTGGGGCTCATGTTGCTGTCGCAGGTCCTCCCTCTTCCCCTCCTCCCCTCCTCCATCTCTCCACTCCCCTGTTCTGGCTTGTCTGGGGCCCCCCTGGCTGTGGTTGTCCCTCCCACCCCCACCCTCTGGGCAGGAAAACAAACGGTCAGAACAGAACAGAATGTCCTCTCAGGACTGGGGGGCCCCTGGCCACCCACCGCAGAGGGGAGGGTGAGCCAGCTGGAGCTCCCAGCCCCACCCACTTCAGGCTAGGGGAGGCTCTCACCCCACCCCCTTTCTATAGTGATCCCAGACTAGTGGGAAAGAGGGATTTTTTTCCCCCCGGGGCCTGCCCTGCTGCCAGCTCTGAGGTAGAGTGTCTCCCCCCTCTTGGACAGAGGAGGAAAGTAGTACCCTGGCTCCTGGGGCAGGACCGAGAGGGGCAGCTACAGAGTGGGACCCTGGGGTCACCTCAGGCTGCAGAGCACTTAGGGCTGTGAGGACCAGGCTTGGCACCCTGACTCTGCTGATTCGTCTGTATTATTTCAGTATCCACGGACAATTTATTACTACCCTGAGGGTCTCAGTTTCCCCATCTTGTAAACTCAGGGGGCTAGATTACATAAGAGCCAAGGCAATTTCCAGGTAGAGATCCAATGATATAAACTCATCCTAAGCCTTTTCCAAGCTTGTCTGGCCACACTGATTACAGGGGGTGGGGTAATAACTGTGATGGTGATGATGATGATGATAATAGCAAACACTTGCACAGTACATTAAGATTTGCTAAGCCCTTTACAGACTTTATCTCACTTGATTCTCAACAGTCTTTGCTAAAGGTGCTCCTCTTCTCCCCATTTTGCAGACAAAGAAACTGAGTTTTGGGGAGGTTAAGTGACTTGCCCAAAGTCACTGGGTAGTAAGTGTCTGGGGTGGAATTTGAACCCAAGGCTTCCTGACTCCATGTCTATCCCTCTGTCTGCTAAGCCTGGCCGCTTCCCACCTACCCCAGGGATAGATGGCTCTTCCAGCTCCAATATTCTATTACTAGCTTCTGGCTCTGCTAATAAGGTGCGAAAGAGAGTGGGGACCTCTCCTCAGTGCTACAGGAGAGATGTCCTCTTCCCCTGCCCTCCTCCCCAAGACCTGAGACCTTTAACCCCTTCTTCTGGGGCCTCGATAACTCCCCAGGGGCTCCTGGCTCAGTGCCAGCCCTGGGACCTCTCCTGGTCTAGTAAACAGCAGATAAGTTAGGGTGTGGAAGGGGCCAGGCAGGGATGGGGGGAGGGAGTCAAGCAGCTGAGTGGACAAGCAGAGACAGGGAAAGGAGCCAGGAATCCAGGGGATATGTACTGGAACGGAGACAGGTAGTGGTCTGGGGTGGGGAGAAGGAAGTGAAACATCAGATTCAGAGAGGTCCTTAGAACAGAATGTCAGAGCTGGAGGGGCGGGGGTAGAATAAGTCCAGAGCTGGGAGGCCCTTTAGAATGTGGAATATTAGATGTGGAAAGGCCCTTAGAACAGGGAATGTCAGAGCTAGGAAGGACCTAAGATTCCAGAACAAACATAGACCCCAGGTCTCTTAACTCCCAGCCCTCTGGGAAGGATGCTGTGATCTCCCCCCCTTGTTGCTCCCCCACTCAGATCTTCCTCTATACCCAAATCCTGGGGCTCCTGTGGGCAGTGACCCTTGGGGTTTGAGGGGCCGGAGAGCTTCAGGGGCAGGGACGGGGCAGAGGCTGTATCCCATTCCATCCCCATCCCCTTTCCTGGGCAGGTCCAACACAGAACTTCGAAAGGAGAAGTCCCGGGATGCAGCCCGGAGCCGCCGGAGCCAGGAGACCGAGGTGCTATACCAGCTGGCCCACACTCTGCCTTTTGCTCGAGGGGTCAGCGCCCATCTGGACAAGGCTTCCATCATGCGTCTCACCATCAGCTACCTTCGAATGCACCGCCTGTGTGCAGCGGGTGAGAGCCTCAGCAGGAGGGGTCCCCAGCTTGGGAGGCCCCCTTAGGGAGTCCATTCCCCGAGAGACCGTGGCCTGGGGGCAGCCCCTTTTCCCTTCAGCCCTCTTGCTTCTCTCTCCTGAGCAGCCCCTCTGCCCCTTCACGCACAACCAAGAGACCACTGTTCCCTTGATAACCTTGTGCCCTTTGACCTCTTGCCCAGAGAGACAAATCTCCTTGGAGTCTTCTGGGCAGAGCTGTGAGCTCTAAGTTCTCCCAGACGGAGGCAAGGCTCCTGCGGGCTGACTGGTGCCCCTCCTTCCAGGGGACTGGAGTGAGGTTTCAGCAGCTGGTGCAGGGTCCGGGGAGCCGCTGGATGCATGCTACCTGAAGGCCCTGGATGGCTTTGTCATGGTGCTGACGGCTGAAGGGGACATGGCCTATCTGTCTGAGAATGTCAGCAAACACCTAGGACTGAGCCAAGTGAGAGCCGTTCCCATTGGGATGGGCATGTGGACAACATAGTAGGAGATTCCCAGAGCTGCGGGGGTCCCCAGAGATCATTGAATCTGGACCCTTCTGTTTTCATGGGGAGCCCAGAAAGACCGAGGGACTTACACAGAGTCACACAGCAAGTCGCTTTAATAGGCTGGGCATGTTTGTTTTTTCAAAATTCCTCTCTTCCAACATTTCCCTTTCTCAACCTCTGAGAAGTAGTGAGTTCCCCATCAGTGGAGGAATTCAAGCAGAGGCTGGATGTTATAAAGGAGTTGGTATTCAGAAATGGACTGGATAAGATATCCGTGAAGGTTTATTTCAGCTCTTAGCTTGTCTCTCTACTCATCTCCCTGGGACAGGGTTTTGAGGGTGTTGACTCTAGGAAGGGGTGATATTCACAGCCAGGCTGTAGAAAGGGAAGTCGGGGGCCGAGTAGTCGAGAGACTGAAGGCTGGGGCCTGAGCCCCAGGAGGGAGGGGTCCTGAGGTTGGGGAAGGTCATCGGGACCCCCTCCCCCAACGCCTTCCTCCCCTTGTAGCTAGAGCTGATCGGGCACAGTGTCTTCGATTTTGTCCATCCCTGTGACCAAGAGGAGCTTCAGGACATCCTGACCCCCCGGCAAGGTGAGCCTTTGCCACGTTTGGCCCTTGTCCCCCAGCATAGAGTCCCCTCTGCCTCCAGGGAGCTGCCTCCCCAAGGGGGACCTCAGACTTGCCCTTGGGGAGGCCCATCTTGAAGGGTCCTTCCTGCCCTCCGTGGGTCTTGGGAATGGGAGGGCAGGCCGGGGAACAAAGCCATGAGAGCTTGGTAAAGTGGAAAGCACAGTTCTCCTGGAGTCAGAAGCCTCGGGTTCAAATCCTCCCTCTGAAACTTAGCTATGTGAGTAGACCCCAGCCTCCCTGGGCCTGGGCCTCTTCTGCGGTGAGTTCACTTGATGGCCTCAGAGATCCCTTCCAGCTCTGAAGGGAGGAGCAGGGAGGAGCCTGGAGGAGCCTCTCTTCAAGGAGGGGGATGGGCCCTGCCCTCAGGAATCCTAAAACTTGCAAGAGGTAGAACTGGGGACCAGCCCCTGTGGGAGGGATCCTGGAGCTGATGCCCGATCTCTGCCTTCTTCTGCCCCGCCTCAGGCCTATCCAAGAAGAAGCTGGAGGCGCCCACGGAGCGGAGCTTCTCTCTCCGAATGAAGAGCACCCTCACCAGCCGCGGGCGTACTCTCAACCTCAAAGCTGCCACCTGGAAGGTAGGGGCCTACAGGGGCAAGGAAGGATGAGGAAGCCGGTGGGGAGCCCTGGGCAAAGAGGGAGCTTTGGAAAGTGGGAGGTCCTGGGAAAAGGCCTCAGGAGATTTGGGGATAGGAGACCCAGGCACCCAAGTTTGGAGACTCTTGGGAACCAAGGACAGTGGCCTGCATTTCAGGGGGCTTGCAAACCAGGACGATGAGGTTTTGAAAGGGTAGGTGTCCCCGAGGGAAGTGAGGGGCTATGGAAGGTGGGGAGGGAGGAAGGGGGCTCTGAGCACCCCAGCGGAAGGTTTTGGAGAAGCTAGAGTGGGGCTCTCTGGGGACACTCCGTGACTTTCTTTAGGCCTCAGTTTACTGATCTGTAAAATGATCAGGGTTGGACTAATGGCTTCTGAGGCGCCTTTCACCCCTAGACCTATCATCCTTTGAGGCAGGTGCCCAAGTATGGGGAAGTCTGGGAGCCGTCTGAGAAACTGAGGCACATGGGTCCATGGGGGCAGTGCCAGGGAGCTAGAGGATGGAGCTACGGAGTCCCACCTCTCTAGGAAGTCAAAGCGTAGGGGCAGGGCAGGACAAGCCCCCTGGCATTGGGCAGAGCTGAGGAAAAAGACTGGGAGGGGACAGAGCGTGGCAGCAGAGGGAGGACCCAGTGGCTCTGCAGCTGATCCTTACCCTTTCCCCACACCAGGTTCTACACTGTACAGGGCACATGCGAGCTTACACCCCACCTTCAGAGCCCTCTGCGGGTGGTGGGCCAGGGTCTGGGCCTGAGCCACCCCTCCGTTGCCTAGTCCTGATCTGTGAGGCCATCCCACACCCCAGCAGCCTGGAGCCGCCCTTGGGCCGAGGGGCCTTCCTCAGCAGGCACAGCTTGGACATGAAATTCACCTACTGTGATGAGAGGTCCGTCTTGTGTCCCACCTGGCCCACGGAGAACTCCAGGCTTTTCTTCCCTCTCCTTTTCTTAATAGCCCTCGTCTGCCTTCACCCCCACTCTTTCACTCTCTTCTGATCTCCCTGTTTCTCCCTCTGCTCCTCTGCCCTTTCCTTCCACCCCTCTCCCCTCCCCGTTCTCTCCACCCTCCCCATCCTCCTGTCCTCTTCCCTCCTTCCCCACGGGCCTGTCCCCCATTCTCAGGATTCTGGTCTGGAGCAGGCCAGAACTGACAGGGCCCATCTTCCTCCACCCCCAGGATTTCAGAAGTGGCGGGATACAGCCCAGATGATCTGATTGGCTGCTCAGCCTACGAGTACATCCATGCCCTGGACTTCGATGCCGTCAGCAAAAGCATCCATACCTGTGAGTCTGCCCAGAGACACCCTCCCCTCACCTTGATCTCCCCCCAGGGTGATTTCAGCCCTGGTCTCCAGCCCCGAGCCCCAGTCTGGGAGCCTTCTCCTCCCTGGCTCCCCGTCCCACCTCTACCTGACCATCCTATTCTGCCTTCTGCCCCCCAGTGCTCAGCAAGGGCCAGGCTGTGACTGGGCAGTATCGCTTCCTGGCCCGCAATGGAGGGTACCTCTGGACCCAGACCCAGGCCACAGTGATCTCAGGCGGCCGAGGTCCCCAGCCCGAGAGCGTTGTCTGTGTCCACTTTGTGCTGAGGTCAGTGCCAGGCAAGGGAAGGGACTGTGACCCCCTTGGGGACTGGGGCAGGGGGCTGACAAGGAGTGAGATCTTTATAATGGAAGGATCCCTATGCTGGGAGTCAGGCAACCTGGGTTCAAATCCTGGCTCCTGCCCCTGACTTACTGTCTCTTGGGAAGCCTCCTTCCCTTTCTTAGCCTCAGTTTTTCCATCTGTAAAATAGGTGGAGTTGGACTTAATGGTTTCTTCCAGCTCTGGAATTCAGTGGTTCTATATGAAGCTTGTCCCTCTTTCTGCCAATTTATGCCTTTGGGGACCTTGGAGCTGGGATATCACTCCTGGGACAATTTTCATAATAGGCTGGTTGGGGTGGCCCTCCAGGGGACAAAAGTCATGCCCAGCTCTGATCTCCCTTCCCTGACACCCTGCCCCCTCTGCCCCATCCTGCCCCCCCCCAGCCGGGTGGAGGAGACTGGGGTGGTGCTATCCCTGGAGCAGACGGAGCAGCCAGCCCGCCGGCCCCCCCGCCCTGCTGACCGGGGGCCTCCCTCGGAGAAGAGTCCCCAGGGTCTTGGAGACGGCTTTGGTATGGGCGTGGAAGGCAAGGGAGCCTGGGAGGTGGAAAGAGGGGAGGAGGGGAGGTTCACGGGGTGGCTCACCTTCTCCACATCATCCCCATGCCATGTGCTGGCATCATCCCTTCCCACTTCTTCCTGGCTGCCAGCCTCTGATCTTTGCCCACTTCCTTGGCTGCCATGATCCCACTCAGCCAAGCATCTAGCCCGTCTCCCTCCCCACCTCATCCCTAAGCTTCTGGGCATAGCCTGTCCAGCTTCTACCCCACCCCTGCCTAGAATGTCCTTGGACGCCCACTGTGTGCCAGTAGGACTCACCTAGCCTCTCCTCCAGGAAGGCTTCCAGGCTCTCCATATCCCCCAGTGCCCTCTCCCCAATCCCTTCATTCCCCCCCCCAAGACCCAACAGCCTCCCAGGATGAGCTCCACTTTCCCTCTAGAATCTCTCCTGGCCCACGAGGTTCTCGTTTCTTCACCTAGGTTAGGCAGCTCACTCCCTTGGTTCTCAGACACCAGACCAGCATTTCTATCTCCTCCGCCTCCCCTGCAATATGAAGGTCAGCCTCCCGCCCCCCAAAAAAATCCCCCAACATCCCCACACAGTAAGTGCTTGCTCAGAAAACATAGGTTGCTGCAGGTCAGGATCACTGGGGTGGCCCCTTAGATGCCCCAGGCCACCACATGTAACCATCCCAGAACATGTTTCACAGATGCCCCTGGCCCCAGGATCCTTGCCTTCCTGAAGCCCCCGGCTCTGAGCGAGGCCACTCTGGCCGCTGACCCTCGCCGCTTCTGCAGCCCAGACCTTCGCCACCTCCTGGCCCCCATCCTGGATGGGGCCGCCCCTGCGCCTGCTGCTGCTGCCCCTGCCACCGCCACTGCCGCCATCCCCAGCGGACCCCTAGCCAAAGAGCGCCCTCGAAGCCCGCCGCCGGTATGCCAGCCTCCAGGCCAAGTCACCACACCTTCCAAGGCTGCTTTTCTGGGTGTCCTGTTCTAGCAAATCGTGGGTTACATTTGTAAGGCCACATAAGGATCAGCTGAAATATTTGAAAGGAGCTTAACACAGTACCTGCCATGTGGATGACCCTTGAGATGTCCCTCCTCTCCACCCCAGCTCTGACATGCCATGTTCCAAGGCCCCTCCCAGCTGATATTCTCTGTTCTAAGGTCCCTCCTAGTTCTGACGTTGTCTGTTCTAAGGCTTTGCTCTGTTATTCCCTGTTCTAAGACCCCTCCCAGCTCAGACATTCTCTGTTCTAAAGCTCTTCCCAGCTCTGACATTCTGTGTGCCAAGATTTCTCCCAGCTCTGATATTTCATGTTCTAAGGGCCCTCCCATTTTTGACATTCCCTGTTCTAAGACCCCTCCCAGCTCTGACATCCCCTGTTCTAAGGCTCCTCCCAGCCCTGACATTCCCTGTTCTAAGACCCCTCCCAGCTCTGACATTCCCTGTTTTAAGGTCTTTCCCAGTTTTAAATGATGTGTTCCTAGGATCTTCTTCCCTCATCCCCTGTATCCTGAGTGGTTTGACACACTGTCCCACTTACTCATGTTTAACTGAAGGCAGGATCTGGACTTAGCCTCTAACCTTTGACCTCTCTGACTTTTAGCCGCTCCCATTCTTTACGTTCCTGATTCCCTGCCTGCCGTGGGGATTCCTTGGTCCCAGCTCTAGAATCAGTGATCCTTGATATTTGACTCCCATGGCCAGGGACCAAGGCTTTCCCTCCTGGGTTTTGAGCAGGCTAACCTCAGACATTTAGCCCCCTCCCCCCAGAGCCTTTGACCTTGAGGTTTCCAGTTTCATGCACGGTCTTTTTTCTCTTTTCTTCTTTGTACGTGGAAATATTTCTGTGTGTTGATGATGTTCATCAAGCGCATTTAAAAGAACAAACCAACCCATTTCCAAGGCTTCCATTACTAAGTGACCCAGTTGTGGGTACTCCCCTCAGACCCTCTGCGCTGGGGCTTTGCTGACCTCTTGGGCAGGGCTGTCTGGGGTCTTTGGAGGCTCGGCTCCTCCCCCACCGTTTGGTACTTGGCTTCCATCCGCCATTCCTGGCTGGGCTTTGGGCTTCCTATCCCATCTGGGAGGCAGAGATGGGCCTGACCTTGGAGACAACCTCGTGTCACCTGCCCTCATTTTGTAGTGCCCTGGACTCACCTGCTACCTCATCTCCATCTCGCCCACAGGCGGATCTCCCCAATGACCTTCTTCTGGAAATGGAAAACGTACACAAAATGTTTGGATTTGGCAAGACCCTGGAAGCTGTGGAAACTCTGGCTGTGGAGCAGGTAGGGCCAAGACTGGTGGCTGGAACAGGACCGTGCCCCCCTATCCCCTGTCCCCTGTCACCCAAGCTTCTTTCCTTTCCCTGAATGGACAAATATCTTCCTTTCGCTCAACTCAGTTTTCTCATCTGCAAAATGGGAACAGTAACAATATAGAAATGGTGTTTGTTCAGTGCCTGGGATTGTAGATTTAGAATTGGAAGGGACCTTGGAGGCCATCAAGCCTGACACCTTTATTTTACAGATGAAGAAACTGAGGACTGGAGAGGTAAAGTGACTTTCTCAGGCTCCCACGACTACTATGTGTCTGAGGCAAGATTTGGACTCAGGGCCTCTGACTCTGCTGTGCCTCACCTAGCATACCCATGTCATGAGGGAGGATCATGGGATGTAGAGCGTGATCTCAGAGGTCATCTCACCCACTCTCATTTTATAGAAAAAACATATGAGGCCCAGAGAGGTCGAGAGCCTTTCCCAAAGTCACACAGCCAATCAGTGGTTATTGTGATGCCTGAGGAAGGGTATGAGCCTGAATTGTGAGCCCCTCTCCCACCTTCCCTGCCCCTGCTGGAGGAGGGGGGGCCAGGCATTGGGCCTGTAGAGGCCGGGGGAGTGCCCAGGAGGGAGCAGAGTCTGACTGGTAAAGGGTGTGGTGGTGATAGGGGGAGCACTGTAGGGGGAGGTGGGCATCCACGGGGGCACCAGAAAGTTGGACGAGATGAAGACACGAGGTGCCCAGGGAAGTGCCCTGGGATCCAGTCTGGGGTGTTGCCGAGCTCATCAGGTCATAGGCTTCATCCCGAGGCCTGGGGGGCCTCAGCTCTCCATCCTCCTCCTCCTCCTCACTCAGACCACATCTAGAGAAGCCCAGAGGTCATCCTACCCAATCCCTTCATTTTACAGATGAAGAGACTGAGGCCCAAGAGGGCAAATTGACTGGTCTAAGACCACAGAGGGAGGAGGTGGGAGAGCCACAGGATTCCACTGCCCCCTCCCCCCACCCCGGCTTCCTAGGCTGCTGGGACTAGGATCTTCAGGCTGGACAATAGCAGGCTCTGGGGATAGAGGTGTCCTTCGGAGGGGGGATTAGCCCCCTTCTGCCTGGCCCCAGAGTGGAGAACCAGAAACGATGAGACAGTAGCAAAGATTCCAGCTTGGGCCTGAGATCACAAGACAATGAGAATTACCCCGGATTGGCCTGGGAAGGTAGTGAGCTCCCTGTCTCTGGAGGCCTGCATGCAGAACAGGGTTACGGTAGTGGGGGTTCTTTATCAGGGATGGCCTTGGAGACCCCTTCCAACTCTGAGGTCCTAGGTTTGGACCCCAGTGCTCCCTGACTTTATAAGCCATACTTCTTGTCCTGTAATTCTGAGGCCTCAGGGATTTGACACGCCGCCCTTAGGGGGGCTGCGTGCTTTTTGGGGTTTTTTGTACTTTCTTGTCTCTTCCCTAGCTCACACGTCTTGCTGTTCTCTGGGCGTTTATTTTCAGCAACTTCTCTCTTCAGTTTACCATGCCCAATCTCCTAGGCATCCCCAGCCTGCACCCCTACTCTTGTTAGCACCGTGTACAAGGCAGGAGGCAGTGTCTCCATGTGATGAGGGTCGCTCCTCTGAGGAGACGTGCTTGAGCTTTATGGCTGCTCTTTTGTCTGCTCAGAGACTTTTTCTGCTTCCCCCTTAACTTTTCAGAGGTAGCTGGATGGAGCAGAGAGGTCCAGAGAGACCTGGGCTGGAATCGCAGGCCGTCTTTGCAATAGTCCTGGGTGATCCTGGACAAGTCACTTGGGCTCTCTGAGTTTCCTCACCTGTAAAATGGAGGTGATAATCCCTGCAGGACCTAGCCCACAGCCTTGTTAGGAAGACATGATTTGTCCAGGCCTCATAAACAGTGCCTGGAGATGGGCAGATGCTTCAGGCATCAGGACGACCCATTTTCTAGGGAAGAGAATTGCCGTCCAGAGAGCTGAAGAGAGCTTTTCAGGGTCTCGAAAGACCTCAGTCAGCAGCAGATCTGGGGTTTGGCCTCAGGGCTCCTGCCCCAAAGCTCAACATTTCCATGATGCATGTAGCTAGAGATCACAGAATTGGGAGTCAGGGCTTGAGTTTAAAGCCAAACTCTGTTACTAAGGACCAGAGTCAACCTCAGTTTCTCCATCTGTAGATTGGGAGACCTGGACCTTGGAGAGCCTCTGAGCTCTCTTCCAGCTTGAAATCTATGCTCCTGGGATTCTCTGACCTGTGTGACCTTGGGCAAGTCTTGACCTCTGGGCCCCAGTTTCCTCATCTGTAAAATTCAGGGGAATCACTACATCATCTTTGAAACTCTTACCAGCTCTAGGTGTGGGGTCCCCTAGCCTTTTTGGGTGACTCATGGGAGAGATGGTGCCATAGGAAGGAAAGGACTGTGGTCCAGGATTAGATGTGGTTGGCTCCCTGGGTCTTGTCTCAACTCCGGGGCCAAGAAGCTACAAGGAGGAGGGTTTCTTACGTGGAATCCTCTTTCTCCTCTGCCCAGGACATCGAGGCACTAGAGTTAGAGATGCTGGCCCCCTACATCTCCATGGACGATGACTTCCAGCTCAACACCAGTGAGCAGCCCTATAGGACTCCTCGAAGACGTCCAGGAGCAGCCCCTCGCCCCCGTGCCCGCAGCTTCCACGGCCTGTCCCCCCGACCCCCAGAGTCTCTCCCTCTGCTTCGGTGGGGGAGTGACCCACGACTGAGCCAGAAGACCCACCCTGCAGAAGGGGACCCCGCAGACACAAGCTCCCAGGCTGGAGCTCGGAAGAGGTGAGGGAGGGAGTTTGGGACCTTAGATTTGGAGTTAGAGGACTCCAATTTAAATTCCAGCTCTGTGTTGAGTGATGCAATGGATAGAGCACCGGGCCTGGCGTCAGGAAGACCTGAGTTCAAATTTGACCTCAGACACTTACTACCTGGGGAACCTTGGGCAAGTTACTTAATCCTGTTTGCCTCAGTTTCCCCATCTGTAAAATGAGAGGATTGAACGTCCTTTCCACCTCTAAATCTTGCTCCTAATAATGTGTGTGTATTATAGTTGTTTTGGTCTTCCTTTTTTTTTTTTAGGCAATTGGAGTTAAGTGACTTGCCCAGGGTCACACAGCTAGTAAGTGTTCCCTTCTTAATAGATGCTTAGCTCCCTGAGGATAGGAATCAAATCAATTCAAATCAGACTGGCCAGTTGGGCAACGCAGTTCTTTCCTTCCTTCCCTCCTTTGCTCCTTCCTTCCTTCCCTTTTCTCCCTCTGTCCACATAAGAAAATGTACCCTTACCCATGGGTAAGGAATATAATTTTCATCATGGAAACCTCTCAAAAATATCTGGTGGTTTGCAGCTAGATTTCTTTATTTAAGAACCATGCCTTCAACCCAAATCACTCTGGCTCTCATTGATTGGCCAACAATAGGTCCCACCCCAGGCCCTCCTTGGTCATTGTTTGGGCCTCTGATAGGCAGTGTGAGTGTAAATAGCAGTTGTTTCTGTTTTGGCCAGAAACCCTGAGGGTCTTCCCCTACCAGATTGATTTTTTTTTTTTAGACTAGGTTAAAAAGGCCATTTTGAGCCTCATTTTTTACCTAGCCTTAATCACTGAATGGATGTTGCCTCAGTCAGACTGAGACCTGGGAAAGACCTTAGCTTAAAAAGGCCAAGATCTCCCACTGCATCCAGGGCCATCTCCAGTCGTCCTGATCTATATCTGGCCACTGGACCCAGATGGCTCCAGAGGAGAGAGTGAGGCTGGTGACTCTGCACTGCGTGCCCTCACTTAAACCCAATTCACTTGCAAGTCATGACATCACCTTCCTGATGTCATGGTCCTCTTCCAGAATGAAGGACAAACAAGAATAAGTATAATTATCCCTATTTTACAGATGAGGAAACTGAGGCCCTGAGAAATCAAGGTGCATGACTGTATGGCTTGTAAGTGTCAAAGCCAGGGCTGTAACCCAGGTCTTTTCCAGCTCTGAGACCAGGGCTCTTTCTACTACACATTGCTGTCTCTGAGCTCCCCCAGCCCCCTTTTCTGTGGTGCCCCACCCCTCATCATCTGTAGCCCTCACTGGGCATTTGCCGCGTCCTGCATTCTGATACTATGTGACCTTGGATAAGTTTCTTCCCCCTCTGGGCTTCAGTTTCCTCATATGTAAAATGAGTCATAGGGGATGATGGGTAGTACCTGGTGCTATCCAGGGAGCCCTTCTGGCATTAAATCTTGTGATCTGGAAACCTCTTCCAAGAGGAAGCCCACCAGTCTTTGTCTCATTTAGTTTAGCAATCAAGCAGTCAATATTTATTAAGCATCTACTATATGCCTACTTGTGCTGCGCGAGAAGAGGCAAAAGACAGTCCCCCGCCCTCGAGGAGCTTACAATCTAATTGCAGAGACAACTTGCAAACAAACATATACAAAGCGAGCTACAGACAGAATAGGAAATAATCAACAGAGGGAAGACATTGGGATGAAGAGGGTCTGGGGAGGGCTTCCACATTGAAGCTTGGAGCTGGAGGGGGCTCAGGGCCACCCTCCAGACCAGCCCACACCTGTGCATCACTGATCTACCAAGCAGTCAGTCTTCCAGTAGCTGCCACCTGAAATGTTTGGGGTAGGGGGGCCTTTGGCCTTGCTCTGACATCCTTCCTGATGCCAACCTTAAATATGCTTTTCCTCAACTTCCCTCCATGCTCCTGGTTCTAGGACCAAGGAGAACTCCGAATTCAGTACATGAAGAGAGCCCTATTTATCTTAGACTCTTCTCCAGGCTAAAGATGCCAAGTTCTTTCAGCTGATCCCACAGGATGTGCACTCAAGACCCTTCACCATTCTGGTTACCTTCCTCCGGGTCAAGGTTCTTCACCTTTTTCAGGTCCTAGACCCCTTTGATAATCTGATGAAGCCCAAGACCCCTTCTCAGAATCACATTGTTAAATGCATAACATCAAATACAAGGATTGCAAAGGAAGCCAATTATATTGAAATACAGTCATCAGAACGATTATGGTGATGGTGACGGTAGTGGTGATGGTGGTGGTGGTAGTGATTGTGACAGTGATGGTGACGGTGGTGGTGATGGTGATGGTGGTGGTGGTAGTGGTGGTGGTGGTGATGGTGATGGTGGTGGTGGTGATGGTGGTGGTGATGGTGATGGTGATGGTGGTGGTGGTAGTGGTGGTGGTGGTGGTGGTAATGGTGGTGGTGGTGGTGGTGATGATGAAGATGATGGTGATGATGAAGATGATGGTGATGGTGATGATGATGATAATGATGAACACAAGTTCATGGACCCATATCTAGAAGCTCTCCAGCTTTACAGTTTCAAAAACTGTAAATGCAGGGGCAGCTGGGTGGTGCAGTGGATAGAGCTCTGGCCTTGGAGTCAGGAGGACCCAGGTTCAAATCCTGCCCTGTCATGTAGGCTGTAGGACCCTGGTCAAGTCACTTGACTTCCCAGTGTCGCCAGGCACCTCTCTCAAGACTATAATTTGCAGAGCAGATGTAAAGAGAGTTTGCTCATCTGGGACATGGGTCCAGTCCCCATCCCTAAACACAAGGCCCTGCTCTTCATACTGGGGTTACAGAAATGGAAAATGATGGTCATTTTCTCTGCCCTCAAGGACAGTCCACTAGGAAGCTAGACTGTGATGGTATCAAAATAAATGAGCATGGTATAAGGTAGAATGTGAATGGAGGAAAAGCTGAGGAGGAAGGAGGAGGGCCCTTGGAGGAATGGGTGATCAGGGCAGGTCTTGAGCCTGGAACATGAAGGAAGAAGAAGGCTGTCAGCTGGTGGAAGGGAAGTGGCACGGGGGTGGGGGGTGCATGGAGGTGGTAGAGGACAGGACCAGGTAGTGAGATATCGTGTACCCTAGTTTGACCGAAGCCTAGAGTTTATCAAGTGAAGTAGAGGGTTCTACGGGTGGAGAGGTAACTGGAACCCAGCGTATGGTCAGCCTGAGGAGTCTGTACTTTATCCCAGAGGCAATAAGGAGCCAAATGTCTGAGCAGGGAAGTGATGTTATAGCCATGAGGGTAGCTCAGGCAGCTAAAACAGGTTCTATTTTTTAAGAAGAACTTCCTTAACCCAGTTGTACAAATATTAAGTCATCTTACAGATTAGGAAAGTGAGGCTTTGGAAAGTTGGAGGCTTGCCCAGGGTCACACAGGTTAACATCCTTGCCCCGACGTTCTGTTCTTCTCGCTTGTTTCAACATTGTCTTCAGTGACCAGTTCACTGCTCCCCGTGTGATCAGCCTGTGTTCAGAGTTTACCCTTTGTGGGACCTGTTCTGGCCTGATTCCCTGTGATATGGAATGAAATGAAATACTTGGAGGAGAGCTGACAGTTAACAGAAGGAGGTTTTCTTAGCTGGAGCTCAGAGAGGAGATTGATCAAAGACATCTTATGATTTAGCTCAGCACTGTGCCCCAGACTCACCACTGCCCCCGGTGGTCCGGGCGAGCTGGAACACCTCCTCACTCTTGGTACTCTGGTGACCTGGAAGCCAGGCCACACAGCAGAACCTTAGTGCAAAGAGCCATTAAGTCTCGAGGACAATCTTAATTCTTCTTCTTTTTTTAATCTTCATTTATTTCTGTTTGGGAGCCTCTTAGAGAAGGCCTGAGAGTCCAATCCCCCCCCCTTTTTTTTAAGGCAATTGGGGTTAAGTGACTTGCCCAGGGTCACACAGCTAGTAAATGTCAAGTGTTTGGTCTGAGGCCGGATTTTTGAACTCAGATCCTCCTGACTTCAGGGCCGGTACTCTATCCACTGCGCCACCTAGCTGCCCTGAGTCCAATCCCTTTTAAGGCAAAGCTAGTCTGGCTTTCTAGGGGCAGAGCCTTAGGGCTCTGCTCCCCCCATACTTGCACATCCTAGGTGTGTGAAGTTTCACCTTTTTTGGGTCCTAGACCCCTTTGATAATCTGATGGGCCCATGGGCCCATTCTGTTGAGACCTTTTTAGGATCCAGACTCAGTTTTTCAGTGTATTAGCTCTACCTCCCAGAGTTGTGTGGCACTGCAGAGAAACATTATTTCTATACCTTTATTCAAAAGAGAGATGGAGATGTTAGCTGTCACTTGGCCAAAGACAAGACGTTTAGATACTCTGTAAGAACATTCAGCCTTCCCTCTGTGAGCATTTTGTAAGCACCTACGGTGTGCCAAGCAATGTCTTTTTTCAGCTAAGTGATAGCTGAGCTGTGCCTGTCCTTTCAGGTAACAGTGACCCAGCCCTGGAAGGCACTGGCACAGGAATGTGCTCATGGCATGCCTTCGTCAAAGATGGCGCTGTGCTCCATGGGCAAAGCAGAGCTGCAGGAGCTCAAATGAAACCTGCGATGCACACATTTAGACCCATCTCCACTCCATGCGCTATCTGTGCCCAGTCTGTGGTGGAGCATTCCGAGTTCATATTGGTCTGATCAGCCACAGTCATACCTTGACTCCAACATAGTGATGGCGTTTTGGTTTTCTTTGAGAACAAAGGCCACGTGGGAGAAAGCCTTCATCAGTCGGTAAACATTTATGAAGTGCCCACCATATGCCAGGCACTGTGCTATGCACCGGGGGTACAAAGAGTCAAAAGATAGTCTCTGCCCTCAAGCAGCTTACAGTCTAATTACACGTAGAAGGTCATTAACAACAGCTGATCTCTTGAGTGGAGGAGTCCTTGTTACCAAGACTTCTCCTCTCCTCTCCCTTCTTGGTGCCCAGCACAGATCTGGGGCTGGGCGTGTCTGAGATGCTCAAGTCAAGGCACTTTGCAAAAGTCAGGGAAGGGTTGCGACCCCCCAGTACTGGTGATTGCTACTGTGCCCAGGTCTCCTGGTCCTGAACTCTCTCCCTCCCTTTCCTGCAGGACCCTGCCCCAGAGCTTGGAGGAGGACGGCGGGGCGGAGGCCCTGGGAGCAAAGCCCCCCAAGCGATCCCCCAGCCCAGCACCGGAACACTTTCTGCTGCCGCCCCTCAGCCTGGTATGTTGGGAAATAGGGGCGTCCATGGGGGAGGGGGACTGGAGGGAGACAATCAAAGGATCTCTGAGCTGACCTTCTCATTTGACCCGGGAAGGAAGTGGGGCCCAGAGGGAGAAAATTCAGCAGCGGTCACATCGTGGCACCAGGATCTGAATTCATCTGCTCCAATTCCTTTCCATATGCCACAGATAGCCTTATGTTTCTGCGATGGAGGCCATGGGGTGAGGATTTCTAGACAGAGTCAGGAGAGCCTTGCGTTCAAATCCCTCATCTGACATGTAATAGCTGCACGGCCATGGTTGAATCATGTAGCCTCAGTGTTCCCATCTATAAAACGGGAGCAATGATAGCACCTACCTCCCAGGGTTCTTGTGAGCTTCAGATGAGGTCACACATGCAAAGCACTTCTCAAACCTGGATTCTCTTTGGAAATGTTTGCTAGGATGATAATCATGTGGACGGTTTCTCTGCTGCTGCTTCATTCTGACACAGGGGTGAAACCAGGTGTGACCCTGGGTACCTGGAACATAGGCCCTCGAAGGCCCTACCATGGCTGCCAGGGGGCACAGTGAATAGCACCCTGGGTCTGAAGTCAGGAAGGCCTGAGTTCAAATCTAGCCTCAAATATTTACTAGCTGTGTGACCCTGGGCAAGTCACTGTCCACCTCCGTTTCCTCATCTGAAAAATGGGCATAATAGCACCTGCCTCTTAGGGTCGTCGTAAGGTTTGTGAAGCACTTCACAAACCTTAAAGCTGTCTATAAAGGCCGATGATGACGATGTTAATGATGACGATAAAACTGCATATTAAACGTTGAAGATAGTAACAAGATTGCCCGGTTCGTATCCCCTTGTGAATTTCTTTGTTTTTCTTTCTGCGTGTTTTTTAATGCTTCATTCAGGAAGCATTTGTTAAACTCCTACTACGTGCCAGGCACATAGTGAGGACACAAAAGCCGGAAACGGCCCCGGCTCGCTAACGTTTCCATTCCACTGGGAGAAGACGCCTGAGCGGAGAGAAGTCGGCGCCCAAGATATTCAAAGTTACTTGTTGAAGGAGGGGCACTGGTGAGCAGGAGATCAGGGCTGCCTCCTCGGAGGAGGAAGTGGTCCTGAAAGCTCTGGAGAAGCTAGGTGTTCTGTCGATGAGGAGGGCGCAGAGGTGGGAGATGGGATGCCATATGCAGGAAACAGTTACGTTGGCTACTTTCCATACATGAACTCATTGGAGCCTCAACAGTCAGTGAATAACAAGCATTTATTAAGCACCTACTGTGTGCTGAGCATTGGGGATACAAAAAAAGGCAAAAACATCATGCAATCAGCCAGAGCTCTGGGAATGAGGTTCTTGTTCGTTCATTTTTCAGTTGGGTCTGACTCTTCGTGACCCCATTTGGGGTTTGCTTGGCAAAGTGGTTTGCCTTTTCTTTCTCCAGCTCATTTTACAGATGAGGAAACTGAGGCAAACAGGGTTAAGTGACTCACCTAGGGTCACACAGCTAGTAGGCATCTGAGGCCAGGTTTGAATTCAGGAAGTTGAATCTTCCTAGCTTGCACCGTACCACCCAGTTGCCCATAGGGAACAGAGACGGGTGGCCGTCTGGGGGAAGGGACGGAGGGGACACAGTGGACCTGGGAGCCCTGGGGAGCGCTTCCTGATTTCTGCCTCCTCCACCAGAGTTTTCTCCTGAGCAGTGAGGCCACTCCTGGCACTCAACCAGATACCGACACCAGGATCCTGGAGCTTGAAGAGCCCATGGGTGAGTGAGGGAGTTCTGGGGAGGAGGGGATATTTCAGCAAGGGCCCAGGAAAGCCCTGGGGTCATTGCAGGATTTCCTGTCTGAGTGATCTGTCTTCTGGGAGGATCAGACCTGGCTAGGAGTGGCTAGTAGGGGGAGTTGCGGAGGCGGATTTTGGCTCAGCAGAAGCAATAGCATCCTGATCATCAGAGGGATCTGATAGCTCAGTGGGCTGCTTCAGGAGACAGTGAGCAACCTGTCACGGGAGACCTTTAAGTGAAGGCTAGCTGTTATAGGAGAGGGGTCATAGCATCCAAAGCTAGAAAGGATCTCAGAGGCTATCTCGCTCATCCCCCTTACAGATGAGGAAACTGAGGCAGACGAGGTCAAGTGACTTAGCCAGGGTCACACAGCTAGAAGGGGTCTGAGGCCAGGTCTGACTGCGGTCTGATTCCAAAGCCAGTGTGCCTTCCGGGAGGGATGACCTGTAAGCTTCCTGCCGACACCGGGATTCTGTGGGTTACCCTGGGGCGGGGTTGTTTTTGCTTCCCCGGCCCTTGACATATGCTTCATACCTGTTTGTTGCCTGACTGATGGAGACAGTGTGGAAGCTGTGCCGTTCACCCTCAGAGCAGTCAACCAGACCCTCCAAACATCTCCCCACTCCCCCATGACCCTGGGCAATGTCATCTCTTACATTCTAAGAGAGGAGGTGACATGTAAGATACATGCATGTTCATACAATGTGCACATATGTTCACACAAGTAGATGGAAGAGAGGGAAGATAGGGGAAGCTGGGAGGTGGAGGGTCCTGATCCCGGAACACTAAGGGGACCAGTGTCACTGGGTGGAGAACCCACAGAAGAGTCAGGTGTCAGATGGGAAGGTAGGAAGGGCCACGTCAGGGAGGTCTTTAAAAGCCTGAGGTACTAGGGAGCCACAGCAGTCTGCTGAGGAGAGGAGTGACGTGGTCAGAGCTGGGCTCTAGGAGGACCATTCTGGCAGTGAGTGGAGGATCTACTGAAATGGGGAGCGGCCAAGGCAGGCGGACCTCCCAGAGCATTCCTGGGTTCACTGACTTTGCCCTTCCTGCCCCCTCCACAGCCCTGGCCTCCTCCTCCCTGCTCTCCTTCTATGAGGATGAAGATACCGCTCAGCCCAGGGGTCACTTCCAGCTGGAGGAGACCTTACCTCAGGAGCTCACCCCAGGCACCTGAGACACCCCCTCTCCTCCCTGCCCCCCAGTCCCCTGCCCTCCCCCCTTCCTCCCTCCCCACACCCAGGACCTCAGCCACACTCCAAGCCCGCAGCCTACGCACAGGATAGAGGGATCTGGGGCCAGGGGAGAGGGACCTGTATCCCCCTCCCATCCCCACTCCTTCTCACACCAGGCCCTACCTCACTGTTCCCTCCCACCCCAGCCCTCTGTGTCTCAGGGGATATGGGTGGCCAGGGAGAGCCAAGCAAACCTCAGCTGGGATGGAGGGAGGCCCATCTCATTCCCACCGGTCCCACACTTTCCCTAAGGGGTCAGGGTCCTAACCCCTGGCTCAGCTCAGCGACCCCCCTCTTGCAGGGCAGGGACCTCCCCTCTCCCTCCTCCCACCCCCTCTCAGGATCTGTTGGTGCTCATTTATTTACACAGTTACCTCACCCATATTTTAGGGGTTTACTTTATAAATGGGGGTTTTCAGGGTGGGGGGTTGGGGGAGGGCTAAGGACTTTTTCTACAGCATGCTTTATTTTTATCTCTGGGGTACACATAACCGCCTTATGGATGAGAAAAATCTCCCCTTTTTGTGATAAATGATCTCTTTTTAAAATTGTTATAATCTAAAGGTACAGGGAGGGGGTGGGGGAGAACTGATACAGACCCCTGAACCTTCCCCTAGGTTTCAGGGGAGCCCTTTGAACCAGACCTCCCATCTTTGTACACGTCATCTCCTTAATGCCTTCTTTCTTCAGACCTCTCACCTTCTCAGCTGCCTCTCGTTCCTTCCAGACCTCACCCCATCCAGACAACCAGGCGTGGGGGCAGACCTGGCCCCTGGCCCCAGCCCTGGCACTTATCTGACTTGGCCTGGTGTCCCTCGCCTTTTCTCTGCCTCAGTTTCCCTTTCCATGAGCTGAGGCATGTGGACTCAGTAAGGAGCCTCCTAGCTTGGCCCTTTTGTGGTTGTGTGAGCAGACACCTGTCTCTCCAGACCTCATTTCACATAATCGGAATATGTTACAGGTGGAGGGGTGGGGGTGGGGACTTGTCCAATCCTCAAATCTTAAGATTTAGAGCTGGAATTCAGAGATTATCTACTCTGACCCCCCTCATTTTACAGATAAGGAAACTGAGGCCCAGGGAGGCAGAGAGCCTTCTCCAAGACCACAGATAGCAAAGCTGAGGGTCCAGAAGGCCGGTCCCTTGGGGTCTGGCCATGGCCTTTTCTCCATCCTGGTTCCAGATTCACTGCCTCTGTCTCTCTCCCCTTTGTCTGCTTCCCCAGCCCCAGGCAAGTGGGGACCATGAGGCACTCCCCTGGGGCCAAGCCCAGATTCCAGGCCGCCCAGTCACACGCACAGCTCCAGCTGCAGGTCTCCAGGCGGGGCGTGGTTGAGGAGAGGGGTCACAGGACACCCCTTCCTCTATCCTGCCTCCGTGATACCTGCCTCTCATCCCCTCTCCCCTCCTCCCTGTTTGCACGATGGTGCTACCCTTTGGGTCTGAAGCTGGGGACAAAGAACCCCCCCACACACATACAGACACACATAAACCCCTTGGTAATTTCCCACCATCCCCTTCCTGGGGGCTCCCCTCCCCCTAGGCTGGGGAGTCAAGGAGTCACCAGATGGTGCTATGGGGTCTGTGGGGTAAGGACCGGGACTTTCTCCCAGCTCTCCCCAGTAGGTCAGAGGCCTCAGTGGAGGGGGCTGTGGAGGTGGGAGGGGGGGAATTGGGGTGGGGCTATGTCTGTAACTACCACCCCCACCCCCAATAAACCCTTCAGCCTGAAAGGCACCAGAACTCCCCTGGAGGACTTGTATTCATTGACTTTGTGTGGGTTTGTGTGTGTGTGTGTGTGTGTGTGTGTTTGTTTGCTTGTCAGAGAAAGAGACATTTAAAGCCAGAACCATGGACCTCTGAGGAGACTCAGGTTTCAGGAAGGGAAGTGATTTGCCTAAGGTCACCCAGATGGCTCCATCTGTGTGTAATCAGAAGGGTGTGTCTGTGAGGGTTGTGACTGTGATTTGTTGTTTCCTTGTGTTATATATAGCTTGCTTCCGGTCTCCTGGTATCTGTGTGCTGGCTTTTCCTGCACTGTGTGGATCACAGATCTAGTCTGCCTTTATTTTTACAGAGAGGTAAACTGAGGCCCAGAGACAGGGATTTGAATTTGAAATCCAATGTTTATAATAAGAATGGCTTGAATTTATATAACTGTCAGGTTTGCCAAGGGCATTACAGATAAGAGGCGCCTTCCGCTCATATCTGCTGGGATCCTTTATCAGTGCTCGGCTCATAGTAGGTGACAGACATAGATGGATGGACGGTCAGATAGATAGATAGTGAGGTAACTGGTGGTACAGCCAGTAGAGCACTGGGCCTGGAGTCAGGAAGACCTGAGGTCCAATCCTACCTCAAGACACTTATTAGCTGTGTGACCCTGGTCAACTCACTTAACCCGTTTGCCTCAGTCTTCCTCATCTGTAATACGGGGTTAATAACAGCACCGACCTTACAGGGTTGTGAGGATTAAATGAGAGAATATTTGTATGTGCTTTGCCAACTTTAAGGTGCTGTTTAAACACGGGTCAATGTGTATCTAAGCGGGTGGGTGCCTGTTTTGGGGTAAGGTGCCAGGCTCCTTTGGAGCCTGTGGGAGAGAGTGGGGAGCAGATAGGGAGACCTGTGGTCTGCTCAGATGGCTTAGGGACCATGCCTTAAACCCAAGTCACTCTGGCTCTCACTGATTGGCCAGCAACAGGGCCCGGCCCACTGACTGGTCATTGTTTGGGTCCACAGGGCTCAGAGTGAATGTAAATAATAATTGTTTGGGTTTTGGCCAGAAACCTGGGATATTCCCCTCCCGGATCAGATTTTTTTTTAAAAGTAGGTAAAAGAGGCCATTTTTTGCCTCATTCTTTGTGTGTGGGGGGGTTGTTTTTTGAGGCAATGGGGGTTAAGTGACTTGCCCAGGGTCACACAGCTAGCTAGTAAGTATCTGAGGCCAGATTTGAACTGGGACACCTAGCTGCCCAGCCTCATTCTTACCCAGCCTTAATCACTGCAGGGGCCTTGCCTCAGACAAACCGAGACCTGGGAAAGACCTTGGCTCAAAAAGGCCACGGCCTCCCACTGCACTGGGGCCACCTCCAGTCATCCGGATCTGTGTCTCGCCCCCAGATGCTCTTCAGTTGCCAAGCAGGGGCTGATCCACCCAAACTCCCTCCCCACCAAGCTGCCTTTTTAGCTGGGTGACTGTACTGCCATGACCTTGGGGACATCATCCTCCCCATCTAGAGCTCTGCCCTGGAGGCTGAAGAGTGATCAGGCCCTGGTGATCCCCAGGCTCTAAACATTTGGTGGTTCAGTGACCAAACTCCAAGCCCCCTTGTGTCAGCATGTGTGTGTGTGTGTGCGCGCGCGCGCACGCACGCATGAGTACTCCTGGATCTCACTATTTGGTTAGGTTGGTAGGGGGCAGGGGCCAGGGCAGCAGGGCCCCAAACCAGCCTCCTATCCCATGAATCCTCCTACCCAGAAAGCACCTCTCCCCTCCTCCTCTGCCCCGAGGCCAAGCCACAGGAGCCCCAGGCTGGACTCTGGACTGCTAGTGCCCTCCTCCAAGGAGGAGCAAGGCTGCTAAGCTCGTGCTGGACTCATGGGGGATGGGAACTACCATCTGATGTTGGGGTGACAGGGGCTGTGGAGGAGGCCAAGCAGAACCTGTTCTGCCCTTCCCAGGAGGAAGGGAAGGAGCTCCCTGGCTGGCTGGAGAGATGAAACACTGCCCCCCCTCCACTCTGGGAGAAGACCCAGAGCTCTCCCAAAGGGTTGGAGGAGTTTGTGAGGGAAAAATAGAGCAGGCCAGAGCTCTCCTCAGGGGAGGAGGTCGACCCTAGCCAGCCCCAGAAAGACAGGGAAGGTTTGGTATTAATAGGAGAGGGCACTCCAGGCAGGGATCCCCGCCTGAGCAAAGGTATAGAAGTGGGACTCCTCCATTTTTCACAAGGAGACTCCCTCTTGAATCCGATGGATTTCAGCCCAGTCATCAAATCACTATTATGTACATTTACGTAGTGCTTACTAGGTGCCAGGCACTGTGCTAAGCACCTGACAATTATCTCAATTTGATCCGCACACAAACCCTGCTAGGTAGATGCTATTATTATCCCCATTTTACAGATGAGAAAAATGAGGCTGAGAAATTAATCAGTTTGCCCAGGGTCACACTGTATCTAAGGCAGAAATCAGATCAGTTTCTCTCTGACTCCATGCCTAGCCCTTTATTCATTATGAGAAGCAGCCTCACAAGTCAAAGGTTGTATGTATTCAATATTCCACACCCATGGTCCTCCGCCTCAGCCTAGAAAGGGGGAGAGGTAACATTCTGTGCTTTCTTCTTGGAGTGCAATCTTGGTCATTATAATAACCCAGCCTTCAGCTTTTTTATTTTGCAGTTATTTTTCCCATTTCCATCATGGTAGTCATTTTAGGTAACTTCCCTCTGCATCGTTCATAGAAGTCTTCCTGGGCTTCTCTGTATGAAATGTATTTGGTGTTTCTTCCCGGGACTCTATAGCGCCCGCATTACATTCATGCACGGCTTGGCCATTCCCCACATGAGGGGCGTGGTCCTCGCTGCTGCAAAAAGGGTTGCTATGAGGTGCTCTGGGGCATGTCGGACCTTTCTGTCCTCTTTGGGATCAATCAGTCCCTGGAGGACTAAGGGCTGGAGATACAAAAGGAAGCAAAAGACAGTCTTAGCACTGGAATCTCTGGGGGTGGGCATAACTCCACATTGTTTTCCGGTTGTACCAATTCACAGCTCCACCAACGATGTAGCTTACTGGCAGATAAAACAAGTCAACAAATAAGGAACTAAACTATATTTGGGGCAGGAACAAGCTAACAAGGCCGGAGAGACTTCTGGTAAGAGGCCGAAGCAGAGCTGATCCTAGAAGAGGGAGATGAGGCTGGGACGGGAGGGAGCGCCTTCCGGGGTGGGGGAGGGGAGGAGGACAGCCTGGGCAAAAGCTCGGAGGCTGGAGATGCCAGGCTGAGGTCAGGCTGCTGCAGGGTCTGCATTTCGCCCCCGGAGACATTGGGAGGAGTCCTGGGGGCAGAGACCAGGGAGGGTGTGAGTGCAAAGATGGCCCCAGATGACCAGGAGGCCCCACCCCCTGGGGGTCCGATCCAAGGGGTGAGCTGCCCCGAGCTCTGCTACGCGGGGCCGTCCGGGTCGGAGGTTTTGCAGCCCCTGCCCTCGAGGCACGGACGACCTCGGGGAAAGGACACAATTAATGGGAGATAAGCGACTCCTCCAGGAAGCCCTCTGGGATTTCCAGGCCTGCCTCGCGGTGGGGTTCTGTGCTAAATCTCCCCCACTCGCCTCAGTTTTGCGAGTCTAGGGGAACAGCCAGTCTTGGCACGATCCGGCCGGCTCTAGACGTTCTAGAAGCCGCATGGTCTCTCGACGGCCCGCGGCACGCCCGGGAGCCGCTCTAGCCACCCGGGTCCTCCCGACTCTCTATGGTTTGCAGCCGAGGCCCCGCCCCCTTCCCCAGGGGAATACGCGGCCTCCCGGCCGGCTGTGCGCATGCGCACGCGAGGTCGGGGTGCGAGGCCGGCGCACTGAGGGAAGGGCAGGGAGGAAGAGGGAGAAGAGGGGCGGGCGGGCGTTTTACGACAGTTGCCGGCGACCGTTGCCTGGGTTGTGGCGGTGGAGGGGTAGGCGCGCTTTGCGGCATGGCGATGGCGGAGGGTGAGCGGCCTGGCTGTGCGCCTCCCCCCCGGGAGGACCCGCCGGCTGACGGCGCCCTGAAGCGGGCCGAGGAGCTCAAGACGCAGGCTAATGAGTACTTTAAAGGTGCCCCCCGGGGCTGGCGGGAGGGCGGCGGCGCCGGACGGACGGGCGGGCGGTGCCATGGCAACGGCGGGAGGGGGAAGGAGGGAGGCTGGAGGGCGCTGCCAGATAGGGAGCCATGGGGGGACACACGGGAGACCGGCACTACCAGATAGGGAGCCATGGGGAGATTGTAGAGGAGGGGGCTGCCGGAGTGGGGAGCCCCGGGGAGAATGCTGACACATGGGTAGACCGGAGGAGATCTTGGCCAGATAGGGAGCCATGGGGAAATGGGGAGATGGCCATATAATGAGCCTTATGAAGGCATGAGGAGACTGCTGCAAGATAGTGAGCCATGGGGGAATGTGGAGGGTTGCCACATAGTGAGCCTTATGGAGACATGGTCTGCTGCCAGATAATGAGCCCTGGGGGGAAATGTGAAGGGTTGCCACATAGTGAGCCATATGAAAATCGCTGCTAGATAATGAGCCGTCGGGGAAGTTTGCCACATAGCCATATGAAGACTGCTGCCAAAAAGCGAGCCTTGGGGAAATATGAAGGTTGCTACATAGTGAGCCATATGAAGACATGAGGGGACTGCTGCCAGATAGTGAGCCATGGAGAAGGTTGCCATATAACGAACCATAGGGAGACCTGACTGCTGCTAAATAGTGAGCCGTGGAGAAGGTTGCCACATAGGGAGCCATGGGGAAATAAGGAGAAGGTTGCCACATAAGGAGAAATGAGGAGAGTACTGCCAGATAGTGAGCCATGGGGAATCGTGGAGACATTTGCCCCATACATAGGGAGCCATATGGAGACATGAGGAGAATGCTGCCAGATAATGAGCAATGGGAACATGTGAAGAAGGTTGCCACATAGAGAGCCATGGGGAAATGTAGCCAGTTGCCACATAGTGATCCATAGGGAAATATGAGACCACTGCCAGATAGTGAGCTATGGGGGGTGCTCAATAGGGAGCCATAGTAGGGTGTGCAGGGAGACGGCTGCAAGATAGGGAGAGCCTTGCCAGATAGGGAGCTGTAAGGAAGCCTGTTGCCAGATAGGGAGCTATGGGGTAGAATTCTGCCAGGGAGGGAAGGAGCCCTGAGGAGATATAGGGGAAGTGCTGCTTAGATAGGGAGAAGTGAGGAAGAGTGTGACCAGGTAGGGAACCTGGGAAGGACCAGGAAATCCTGTTCAGTAAGTGAATACAGGGAGGTGGTGTGCTGCCAAAAAGTGATCCATCAGGCACAGAGGACAAATGGCCATGGAGGGGGGAGACTGAGGTGAATGGGAGGGGGGGGGGGGGGGGAGATGGACAGGAGAGCCACACACCAATGCAAGAAACCTGGGTGCTGCCAAAAGCCCCCAGGGTGACCCCTAAAACCCAGCCCCAAGCCCTGCAGTAGGAGAAGAGATAGAGGGTTAGAGGCAGAAGGGCCCTCAGAAGGTCCAACCTCATTTCTATAGGTGAGGAAACTGAGGCCCATAGAAGCAAGTGACTTGCCCAGGGTCACTCAAGCAGTAAGAAGCCGAGTCAGGATTTGAACTCGGCTCTTTTTTTGTCATCACATGGAGCTGGACTCTTTAGGCTGTGGCAACAGTGGAGTAGTTGCTGGCTCCTTGGGCCTTATCTGTGGAATGAGAGGGCTGAGTTTTCACATTTTTTGCTTCTGGAGAAACCAAAGTGGATACACATAGCTTCAGTCAGGCCAGGGCAGGGCTTGCCCCGAAGCCTCGAGGTGGCAGATTAACGGCCTGCCCCAAGATGAGCCATGGGAAGGGAATGGGACGATCCCCAGAGGGAAGGCATCACCCGCACCCTCCGTGGGTGGGCGTCCCGTTCACCCCCTCCTCATCAGAGACAGACACTGGGTCTGTAAAGGACACACAGCACCCCACTGGAGCTACCAGCAGGGGATCCCAGGGAGGAGAGTGAGCCCCAGAAGGGACTTGGAGGCAGGAAGAGTGTTGGGGGCCCCAGGAGGAAAGGAGGCTGGAAGGGGGGGCCAGGGGAAGGAGAAGGGAACAGGAAGAGACCCTTCTGTCCAAGCCCCCTTGTGTAGGTGGGGAAACTAAGGCCCCTGGAGAAGGGACTTGCCCCAGGCCTCACACCAAATCAGGGCAGAGCCAGGGCCGAAACCCAGCTTTCTTGACTTCTTTTTCAGGGCTTTCTCTGAGATAACAATGCATCTGGGGGCAGGGGGGATACCCTTCTCTTACCATCAAACCCCAACAGGAAATGGCTGAGTCTGAAAAGGAGGGGGAGGCCACAGGAAACAGAGACACGTGGGAAGGAGGAGCTGCCCTCTGCCTTTGCAGGGACGGATTTGGGGGCACCCCACTGGCAGGCAGCGCATTAGAGGCAGTGAGTTTAAGCCCCTCTGTTTACAGAGGAGCCCCCCACGTCACCTCTCTAGAACCTGACCTTTGCCCCCCAGCTCCCCTTGTTCTTGCAGGCAGTCACTCCCCTCCTTCACAGCCTGGATACTGTCGCCTGTTTGAGCAGGAAGTGTCCTGTCCCCTTGCGTGCTTAGCCTTTCCTTCCTCCTGCCCCAGGAACCCCTAGACTAGAGGCCTGCATTCACACAGCTGCCCTCTTTCTGCACTGCACTCCTTCCATATCCCACCTATGGAAATCCTTCCTTCTTAGGTGTCCCCTCCTCCGGGAAGCCCTCCCTGATTTCACCCAGCCAAGCCCAAAGTTCAGAGCCATTTCCTCCACCCCTCACTCCCTCAGATTCCTGAGGACATTGTGTCCAGGTTTTCTTTTGTCCCTATCACACTCTTCTGTCTCTCAAACTTATTGGCCTACCGGGCCTGCTGACTCCCTCCTAGAGAGAAGGGGCGGGTTCATTTATGTTGGTTTCTCCAGCCCTGACCCCTGGGTCATTCATTTCAGCAAGTACCTGCCAGCTCCCTAGAGAGCCTTGTGCTCAGAGCGGCAGGCAGGGATCCAGGGATCCACGTCTGCCCCACGGACGTTACCATCCAGCGCGGGGATCAGACGCAAGCCACCAGCGCAGGTCGCTCAGCTCCTGCCCCACGTGAATTCAGCAGAGAAAGAGGAAAGGGGAGCACTGTAGACACAGGGGCCACCACCATGCATGCGAGAGGGAGGGGAAGTCAGCCTTCACTTGGCACACAGGAGGCAGAGGCCATGCCCACGTCTGGGGGTCCGAGGCTTTGGCGGGAGGGAGGGATGCCAGAGAGGCCTGGAGGGCCGCTCGAGTCTGAGGATGAGGGCAGAGAGCAGGAGAGAAGCTGGAGTCGGTCTGTACGCAGTAGCGGTTTAAGGCTGACCAGAAAGTTGACATTCATTGCCTTGTTTGAGCCTCATAATTATATGGAGGTGTTATTATCTCTGTTTTATTAGGAGGAAACTGAGGCTAATTGCCTTGTTCTGATGGGATCCCAGCTGAGGACTGGCGGCCTCCCAGGGGCCTAAAGGTTTTTTCCTTGTGACAAGCCTGAGCTTGGGTCTTTATGACTCCCACCCATTGCTTCAATGTGCCCTGGAGGGTCTCATCTCTCTCTTAGGACAGTCTTTCCAGGACTTGAAGGAAAGCCTTTTCCAGCCACCTCAGCCTTCCTTTCCTCCAAGCCTTATCTGGCCCTCAGATGGCCCATCACCATTCAGGCTGACCTTTCCTGAACCCTCTCTCTTATCCCAGTGTGAAGGGTGTGTCAAAGTGAAGCCCCCTACCCCAGATGTGATGGTCTGGCTCATTCAGCTTTTGGTCCACTAAAACCCCCAGCTCGACCTCGTACATTCATTCACACACACACACACACACACACACACACACACACACACACACACACACTTTCTCTCCCTCTGCAGCTCCATCAGAACTGCAGAACGGCCAAGAGATAGGCTGTCGGTAGGTCCTGGCCCCTGACCACCCCACCCCCACCCCCCACCCCAAGGATCTGGTGTCCTCTGGATGACAGGTGAGGACTGGATCCCTTAGTGGCCAGAGGAGTTGATAATGATGACCACTGACACTCCTCCAGTGCTTTAGAGTGTTATGTCATGGGAGGGCAGGGGGCCTTAGATGGCCCCTGAGCCAGTCCCCACAATTTACCCATGAGAGACGGAGCCCCAGGAAGATAAGTGCATCTTGTAAGTGGCAGAGCCCCCAGTCAGCATCCTCAGGGCTGCCTCCCAAGAGCACACCTGCCCGTGCGCCGTCTCCCCTTTGACTAGGAAGGAGCCCCCTGTCTGACTGATTGTGAAGATGGTCAGTGCTTCCACATGGGAAGACCGGCCCCTGCCTGACGTGTGCGTGTGCGTGTGTGTGTGCATGTGCGTGTGTGCACACGCACGTGCGAGTGTATGTGGTTTCAGCAGATACTCAACACGAAGCGCCTCCTGTGTGCAGAATACCATGGTCAGTGCTGAGAGACTGAAAGTTAGGAGGACACAGTGCTTGCCCCTCCTGGAGCGTACTGTTCAGCAGAGGCAGAAGACACCAGAGGCCTAGGGGAGTGACATTTTCTGACAGGTCCCAGGGGAGGTCAGGAGAGGCATCCTGGCCTCTGTGTTGGGCCTCCAGGCTAGCGGGAGAAGAAGAAGGGGAGGGAGGACATTCCAGGTGTAAGATCAGGGACTGCAGGCTGTCCTTTTACAGATGGAGAGATCGAGGCAGAGGAGAGAGGTAGGGGGTGGCCAGCGTTGACCGGCCCTCCAAGGTCATCCAGGCTGGGCGCCCATGGTGACGTGGCCAGATGTCCGTCTGTCTGTCTGTCCGCTGACAAGAGAGGGCTTCTCACCCCTTCCCTTCCCTGCCCTTTCCAGGCAAGGACTACGAAAACGCAGTCAAGTTCTACAGCCAGGCCATTGAGCTGAACCCCAACAACGCCATCTACTATGGCAACCGCAGCTTGGCCTACCTGCGGACAGAGTGCTACGGCTATGCCCTGGCCGATGCCACCCGGGCCGTGGAGCTGGACAACAAGTACATCAAAGGCTACTACCGCCGGGCCACCAGCAACATGGCGCTGGGCAAGTTCAAGGCAGCTCTGCGGGACTACGAGACGGTGAGCCTGTGGGGCTTGGGGTCCCTGGCTGGGCTGGAGGGAGGGCTCAGGGGGACACGTGCCTCCTGTCCTGGCCAGCCCATGGAGGCCTTGAGTGCCAGGCCCGGGCATGTGGACAGCTTTCCATGGGGATCGTGGGATCATCGAGCCCCCTCCTCTTGAGATGAGGAAAGAGGGGCCCAGAAAGGGCAGGAAAGGCTCTCAGCAGTAAGCGTGCAGAAGAGCCGGGGGCATCGTCCCCCGACACCCAGGAAGGAAACCTGGGGCCTGAGGAGGGCTGTGGCGGGGGTCTGAGCCAGGCTCTAGGAAGAGGATTCTCACCTGCAGCATAGAGAGAGGCTGGGAGTGGAGTGTCAGAGGGGGCAGCCACGGAGAAACCACTGGGGTATGGCCCCACAAAACGCATCCCAGCCTGAAAGTACCAACAGATTTTATAGGATTGAGAGAAACTCCCATCTGTGGACCCCCAGCGGGGCATGAAGAGGAAGTTCAGGGGGCTTGGGGCACCATTTGTGACCCATAAAGGATATACAGGCAGGAGGGGGAGGCCTTCCAAAGCTGTGGTCAGAAACCGGAGTCCAGAGCCTAGCAGGGGCAGGGGCACATATTCCTAAGAGCTCCATTTTCTTGTAAAAAGGGCTTTTAGTGATGTCTTTTATCTTTACATCACAATCATTTCTGGACATGGTGCCACCCCCACCTCATTGAACCCTTCCACCGCCCCCTCCCCCCGACTAGTAGAATGGAGGTCAAGTCCGAGAGGGGGCCTGCCATCCTGCCCCCGGGCACCTCCCCACCCCTCTCTCTCCATCAGCCGCAGCCCTCGGCGCTGGGCTCCAGTCAGTCCACGTCCTGTGGTCTTGGGGATGGTTTTTCTTCCCTCTGTGCGGACCCTCCTGTGTGTTTGGGCATCGCCACAGTGACGTTCCAATACAGCCTTTGACCGTAGTTTGTTTATCTGCTCCCTGGTTAATGTTCGAGGTCTTCGTCACCACGGAGGCGCTGCTCTCAGTCTTTGTGTTTGTCCGCCGTGGGGCAGGTGCCCGGGACGGGGATCCCTGGGCCGAGGTGGGTGGAGGAGGTTAGTGATGTTTTCAGTATAAATCCAGGTTGTTTTCCCAGGCTGGCCTGCTGGGAGGCAAGCTTGCATCGCAGTCCTGCAGAGTGCCACGCTGGCTTAGAACAGCCAGGCCCTCTGTCCCCCACCCCCACGCACGCATCGTCTCCTGGAGAGTCTGGGCCTTGGTGGCTGCTGTTTTTCCTGTCCCCTCGACAGTAGTAAGCCTGTCCATTTAGACTGGCCCGGCGGTCAGGAAGTGCTGGTTCTCCCTGGCGATTGATTCAGTCCAGGGCGGTTTTGGTCATGTTTCTCCAAGTCCTGAGTGTGGTGTGCCCTCCAGACCTCGCGGTGGCCTTTCTCATCCATCAGTCCTGTGCAGACGTGCTCACTGTTTCTGTGAGATTATTTCCGTCTTGGTATTTGACCGAAGCTGTTCATCGTCTCCGTTTCTTCGCTGATTCCCTGGGGTTTTCTAAGTAAATGATTCTTGTCTGTTCTGGGGATGTTCTCCACCTGGGTAGCAGAATTGTTCATTCCTCTACCAGGTCCCCACGACGCTGCCCAAGGCCCCTGGCTCCCCCAGGCAGTGTGGGAAGGCTGGACGTTTATTCCTGGGTCCCCTGGTCCCCTGGTGCAGGAGGACCTGAGCCATTCAGGCTGTCCTTGGGGACCTCCCGGGGTGGGCGTGGGGGCGGTCCTCTCTGCCAGGGCCCCTGCCCTGCACCTTATCACTTCAAAGAGAGCCAGGGGCCTGGAGAGAGAGGGGGCTTTCGTAGCCCATGTATGTTAGAGGCAGGATTTGCACCCGGCTCTCTGACCTTGGAGCTTGACTCAGCACCTGCCTCCTGCGTCCGTGCTGCCTCTCAGTGCAGACATCACCATTTCCATCTCACAGAGGAGGGCCTTCCATAACCTCAGACACTTTGAGCGTCCCTGTCCACTAGCAGTCAGACTGTTTTTATCGGTTCACCAGGGGCCTGTATAGTGACAGAAGGCTGTAGTCAGGAACGTTGGCCCCAATGCTTCATACATCGTGGCAGCCTCTGCTGACGTTGGGGAATAGTAACAGGTGTATTGCTCTTCTGTCTGCAGAAGGTGTGTTGGCTTCTTTAAGGTCCTCAGCCCCAGGTGGGTGGCTCTGTAGGTTCTGAGCCTGGTCTGTACTGGGGAAAAGCCAGACCTGGGAGAGGAAATGGGACGTGTTGGAGAGCCAGGGGGCTGAGCCCCGGCCCAGGCCTGTCCTGGATCCTGGCAGCTGGGGGAAGTTGGGGAAGAGACAGGGTCTGATCTGGGACCGTGACAGGAGAACTAGGCTGGGTGGTGGGGAAGGAACTAGAATCAGACAGGTTGGCCCTGAGCGGGCCCACCTCTTGTGCCTCTGAATCCACAGCTCCATAGCCGGGGCCCTGCCCCTCGTAGGCACCTCATAAATGCTGGGGTCAGTTGTGAGCCCTGGCCTGAGACACAGGAGCTGCCCAAAGGAGGGTTTAGACCTTCCTGCCCCAGCACCAGCCCCGGCTGGGTGTTGGAAAACTGCCCTCTTGCCCAGGAGGTCCCCAAGGGGTTTCTGGAGGAACGAAGGAGGCTTTGGGGGCCCCTGGTAAGGATAGGCACCCTGGCCCCCTTTTCTGGCTGCGCCACCCTCCTGCTCACCGGCAGTTGGCCGCACAGACCATTAGAGCCTTGCCGCGCGAGCATCTCGCCCGTCTCCTCCATGCACTCCTAGGGGTCCTCTCTGGACCACTTCTCAGAGGAGGGAGAGAACGAAGCCTGTTTTTCTTCCCCAGCCCTCTTAGAATAAGATCAAAAGGTCCTCCCTTGGCTCCAGGCCCTGGAACCAGGCAAATGAATCAGAGTTTCCAAGCTCCCTGGTGTCTGGAGTTTGAGGGAAGAGTTGATTTCCAGCCTCCATTTCCCCTCGTCTCCCTCCCTGAGTCCTGTTATCAAGCCACAGTTTGGCCAAGAAGCCCAGGGTCTCAACGTTTATGCCCAGGTTGGGAGGGGGGGTGTTGGGGAAGGAGCCCCAGCTCCCTTCCCCACTGCCCCCTCTTACTCCCCTTCCCTTGTCTTCTCTGGTCGTTTTAAGTCTGGCCTCGTTCTCTACACCAGGGCTGGGAGTGACCAGACGTCCTTGACCCCTGAAATCTCCAGCATTTAGCAGGAGAGCTGCCTCGTTCCCTTGCCCTGGGCTGTCCCTGCTCCGGGAGGCAGCAGGTGCCAAGCTGGCCCCGACCCCCAGCGAGGAGCTAGCCAGGCAGCATCCCAGGGAGCAGTGTCAATGCAGGGGCCTGTGCTCCAGGGGGACGAGCTGGCCGTCCGTTCCAGCGCCAGCTCCCAGTGAGCCCCAGGGATCCTCGGACCTGGTGGCTGGGCCCAGCTGCTCTTGACGCGCTCTTGGCTGTGCCCATTTCTACTCTCAGGGCCTCCCTTTCCTCATCTGGAAAGTGAGGGGATGGACTGTGTGCTGTTGAGGGCTCTCTCTCCTCATCCCTCACCTTCTCCCAGGGTCCTTCCTGCCTCCTCTTCCCCAAGCTGGGCTCCTGCCTCTCTCTTTTCTTCCTCCCTCTTCCCTTCAGAAGCTCCCTGGGATTCACCCCAGCCAGTCTGCCCCCTCCCCATTTGTCCTTGGGTAAGGCTCAGGTTTTGATCACAGCCTACTAATACTCAGAAGTTGTTCCTTGGCAGGGGGATCCTCCACCTCCCCTCCTCCCCTGCTTTCTCTCCTCCTTGCCCTGAGGGCAAGTGAGCAAACTGGCTTAGGCCAGCTGGCCTGCAAGGGCCCAGGGCCGCTGTGCCAGGCTGAGCACGGGTGTGAAGAAGATCCTGAAGGTCAGACAGGGCCCACACAAAGACTAGGAAATCAGAGGGCACAGGTGGGAGCCCTTCTCAGTCCTTGGCTGCTGTTTGCTCCTGCTCAGGCCCGTGGGTGGGTGAGGCTGGCGTGGAAAGTACACTCTAATCTGGAGCCCCAAGAGCTGGATTCAAATTCTGAGCAGGTTAGAGAAAAGTGCACTGAGATAGGGGAACAAGCCCTCCAGAGACGCAGGGCGTGTACAGCCCCTTCTCCATGACTCGTTTTCCTCATCTATTAGATAACATTTGAGTCCCGAGCTCTGGGACTCCCACCTCTCGGACACAGCTGCCCTCCATCTGTCCACTGACTCGCACCTCCTCCATCTCCCCGTCCAGGTGGTGAAAGTCAAGCCCAACGACAAGGACGCCAAGATGAAGTACCAGGAGTGCAACAAGATTGTGCGGCAGAAGGCGTTCGAGCGGGCGATCGCTGGGGATGAGCACAAGCGCTCGGTTGTGGACTCCTTAGACATCGAGAGCATGAGTGAGTCCCGCGCTGCCCGCCGGCGGGGACGGGGTGGGGAGAGGGGGCTCTGGCCAAGCACCCAGACACACCCAGGCGCTCTGCCCGCCACCCCACTCCGGTGAGGCCCGGGGACAGGAAGCATTGGATTGGTGTCTGGGTCTTCTCCTTGTCGAGTCTGTCCATTGCCTGAACCTGCTGGAGCTGGTTCCATTCTTCCACTGATTGGGAGTGGGAGCTGTCCCTAACGGCAGACGTCAGGCCTCTGTCTGGCCCCTTCTCCCGTCCTCTTGTTCTCCTAAGCCAGGCCTCCACCTTTGCTGCTTTCTGCTGGTGCTCAGATCCATTCCTATGGGCTTCATCTGTCTAGCTTAACTCCCTTCTTGAGTACTGAGTCCCCCGAGACTCATCCCCTCCATTCCCACCCTAGCACTTCCCTTGCCTTCCCAGGGAGAAGCTGGTGGGAACCCTGGGGTGGGGGGCACCTTGGCATGGGCCTGCGTCCGCTGCCCTGGCTATAAGAGGGTCTGACAGCCCTAAGACAGAACAGCTAGCAGGAACTTGGGCCAGAGGAGGCCGGGTACTGGAGGGCCCCTCCTCCTCCTCTGCCTTCAGGCACCCCCAGCCATTGCCAGCACAGATAGACATCCTCCCTGACTCTGCCCCTGCACATTGAGCAGCCCCTACTGCAGCCCTAGGGTGGCTGAAGGTGTTCTTACTGGGTGTTAGGAGGCCTCAGAGGTGGTCCGACCCCTGCTTGCATTCCCCTGGTAGCCGTGGGGGCTGCCATGACAGCTGGGTACTGTGTAGGCACACCATAAGAGAGCTCCTGGGGGCCCCCGGCTGTGCACGATCTCCAGGATGCCCACATCCCCGGCTCTGTTCTCACTTTGCTGGTGGTTTCCTCCTTCCTCTTTCCTCGATTGGAATGTCTTAATTAGGCCGGCTCTGAAAGCCTCCAGGTAACCCTGTTACGGGAGGAGAAGCAAGAACTCTTAGCTTTTGTTTGGCTTTTGAGGCCTGGTGATCTGAGGGGCCCTGCAAATGAACCGTGCGGGGCCAGCAGTTTGAGCCCCAGGGCTGTGGGGTGTAGGGAAGGGGGGCAGGGGCTCTCCCTCTGTCAGCCCACTCCTCAGGCGCCCACCCACCTCCACGGGCCCCCTGTGCTGTCTTTGCTGGCAGCAGAGCATCTCCCCTTGGGCCATCCTCCTCATCTGTAAACCTGGCCATGCCCTGGCTGTTTCCCTCGTAGGACCCTGCAGGGGAGGGCTCTCGTTCTCTTTCTTTCACCACTGTTGATTCCTTCCCTCCATCTCCTTCCAGGGCCTTCTCCTGCTAATCTCCCTGTCACCTTCTCTCCTTCCCATTTCTTCCACACTCTCTTCTGCCCTCTTCTCCTTCTTCCTCTCCCCTCCTTCTCCTCTCTGCCTGTTTCTCCCCTCCTCTCCCTCTTTCTCTATTTTTCTACCTCTCTCCTTTCCCTGCCTTCTCCCTTAATTTTCCTGTCCTTCCTATCTCTGTCTCCAGGCTGGGGTAGGAAGCAGGTTAGAAGAGAGAAGAAGGTCACTGACATCTGTCAAGTCTGATTTTAAGTTTGTTTTCTTTGACCTCATTTTCGTCTTTGGACCCTGACCGAATCCTCTTCCTAGACTCGTGTTCTCCCTCCATAATTGGTCAGCTACTCATCGGCAAAACTTCCTCTGTTTTCTCACATCCGGCTTCTCAGGGTATAGCATAAGAACAACATCCTCTTTCCCTCCCTCCCCCAAAAAAAATTAATGCAGAATCAGCCCCACAGTCCCTCTAGTTCTGTCCTCAAGCACATTGCAGAAAGTCAAGGCTAGGCCAGCTGGATGCCACCCCCAAGAGTTAGGGACAGCCAGGTATGGCTCTGGTCTTCAAAGACCCATAGAATCCCAGGAATCCAGGGCCCCCTGGTCCAGCCTGGCCCCGAGCACGAAGCCTCCTTGTGACAGTCCTGACAAGTTTTCATCCAGCCCTCATTAAGCAAAGTCTTCTGGGGATGTGAAACTCGCCTTGTCCTGCGGGTCCCAGAGAACCCTGGTCTGCTCCTCTTCACCTCCTGGAGCTGCTCCTAATTCTTCCCTCTTGGGGCCAGGCAGAAAGGTTTGATCATTCACCCCAGCTGTCATCCTGGGCCAGGCCCTGCCTTGTCCCCTGCTGCCTGGATTACTGCACCAACCTTTTGGCTTCTCCACTGTCATCCTCAAACCCAATCAGATTCTTCTTTCTTTCCCACAACGCCCCCTGATGTGTCACAGCAGGACCAGCAGTGACCCAGAGTTGTGGCCAGTTCTCTCAGGCCCGGAGGCCTGTGATTCAGGCTCTGTGGTAGATAGGCCTTGTCCAAAGAACAGCCTGCTTCAGCTTGGAGCTGAGCTGGGGCATCACCAGGCTAGGCACAGGATGGCGAACTGGGTGCATGGAGGTCATCCACACTTATGAGGTGCAGAGAGAATGTGACCTGTATTGGGGGCAGGGGAGGGACACCCCTAACTCACAGATCCTTGCAGGATTCCTTACATTTCTGAAACTCTTTCCAAGTCAGGTGGGCACATGTCACTATTATTTCCATCTTACAGATAAACGAACTGAATCTCCTTGGTGAAAGGACTTACCCAAAGTAATAAGTGGCTGAGAACCAGGACTTCGGCCCAAGATTAACCGGCATTTTGCAAGTGTAGAGGAGACTTTTCTCATGCTGTGTGGGAGCTCCACCATGCATCTCTTTTACTAAAACTGCCTCTCAAGTTTCAGGCAGCTTATTTATTCCATGGTGCAGGGATTTGGTGAAAAAGTAAAAATCCAAAGAGAGTAAGAAGTAAGTATTATACCATTGAGGAATTGAACCAAGGGAGCCAATGAAAGTGAATTCTGTATTCTCCAGAAATCGTAGAACAGCACCAAGAAACTCCAGAATGGTTCAAAATAGAAATAAAAGCTGGAGGAAGATATTAGGAATGAAATTAGATCAGAAATCAGAGCTAGGAAGAATTTTAAAACGTAAATAGCTGAGTAAGAAAAATTGAATACCTGGCAAAGTCTTTCCAAATCAGTGGAGGCTCTGAGAGAGAGACCAAAATTTGATTACAAAACTATGAAGTAGAAGAAAATTTGGCAAAAGACAACAGTTACATTAAAAGAACACCTAAATTCCATAAAAGCCAAAGTGACTGACTTGAAAGAGAGGACATTTGAAGTGATTCCATGATTTTGTAGATTAGAAGAGCATAGAGGAGGACATCAGATCCAGCCTTGATCTTACAGATGAAGAAACAGGTTGGAGAGTTGAAATGCCTTGCCAAGGTCCCACAGGTAATGTCAGAGGCAGGATTTGAAGCCAAGTTTCTAACTCCAGGGCGGGGCTCTTTCTGCTGTACCAGTTAATAGACCATTAGTGCTAATAGGGATCTGGGGGACTATAGAATCAGACTCCCTTATTTTACCAGTAGGAAAATAGGAGTAGAGAAGAGGTTTTGGCCAAGGTCACACATCAAGTTGATGATGGAGCCAGACCTGAAATTCCTAGTGTGGCATCTGTTTTGCCACACCACATTCCCTCAAGCATATCCCACTTTCAGCTTTTATCTTTCCAGGCTATGAGCCTCAGCTATTTTAGCCCATCTGATAGACTTTTCCCTGAAAATCTCACAGGAAGAGCCTAAAAAACCAGGAGTTAAAAATCTAGACCTACCACTGGTACTCTTTGTGACCTTGGGTTAGTTTCTTTCCCTTTCTGGGCCTCAGTTTCCCCATGTGTAAATTTAAAGGACTAGACCAGATGACCTCATTAAGACTCTTGCAGCCCCAGCAGTCAATGATGCCATCATTCCAACTTAAGAAAGACCTTATTGCCTTTCCCACAGCATGTTTTTAAGCTGCTCCTCTCTTTTTCCCCCCCCTTCTGTCCCTTCCCAGTGGCTTCTCCAACCCCCCCTGCCCCTAGCCTTAGACCCTTCATTTAAGACTGAAAGAATAAAATAAATCACCATGGTCCTTTCTCATAAATCTTCAGGATCTGAGTTACTTAGGAGTTCAGCCGTTCTCTGTTCTCTTTATGATTCTCTTTGTTCTTTTCCCAATGGTGTAATCTTTTTCCCTTAAAAAAAAGCCTATAAACACAAAAGAATTGTTTTGCCTAGTCTTTTTTAAATAACTATGCTTACTCACTTTTCTTGTGTTCCTGTTTATTGTTTGGGATATTTGCAGGTCAAAGAATCTGTTTCTTTTTAAGGTTTTTTTGTTTTTGTAGGAATGTCTCAAACAGCTGTCTTGTTGAAAGCTCTTTCATTGATGATCAGGCTTAGCTGTATAGGATATGTTATTCTGGGGTGCACCCTGAGCTCCTTTTCTTTTTTGGAATATACTATTCCTCTTCCTTTCACTGATTTCTTATGAATATAAAATAATCTTGGGGTTACCTTTCTTTCCTTCATACTCAGAGAGTTCTCTTCTTGGCTGCTTGCAGAATTTGTCTTTGTGTTTTTGGAGGTGGGAAATTCAGTCAATATGTATCCTGGAGTTGAAGCATGTTTGTTCCCCCTCTCGCCCTCGGTGGCCAGCTCTGGATTCTGTGGATCTGTGCTTTGCTCTCTGGACAATTTTCTTACGCTCTCGCCTGCAGGGTGGTGTTCAGGCTTTTTGATTTGATCCGTCATCCGGCACGTCTCTTTAAAGTCAGTCACTTTTGTGGAATTCATATGTTCTTTGAATATACGTGCTGCCCTTTGCCTTTCTTCTACTTTGGCATTTTTTGGCTATAATTTTATTCTCTCCCTCAGAGCCTCTACTGCTTTGGAGAGATTTTCTGTCAGTTTTCAGTTTTTCTTATTCATGTTTTTAAATTCATCCTACTTCTGCTTTCTGATTTAATTTTGTTCCTAATAGGATCTTCCAACTTTTATTTCTATTTGGAACCGTTCTGGAGTTTCTTGCTACCTCCAGTGTACTCTCAGTCACCTGGTTTTTGTTTCCCCATTCATTTTTTGGCTTCTTCCCCTTCCCCTCCTGTACCAACTCTCACAGCTGGACAGCCGGGCTACCTCGACCCTCCCATTTTGGGGAGAGAATGGATGGAATGTGTGGTTGCTGGCCTGGGTTCCTAGCCGTAATAAGCTCCAGGGGGAGAGGTCTGGCCTCTGCTGCATTTCCGTCTGGTGGCTTCATGAACCAACATGCTCTTTCCCTCTAAGCTGTGACCAAGGGCAGCCTGTGGTGCCCCCCCGCCTCCTCCACTCTTCCTGGGACTGGGCAGAATCCATTTCTCCGCTGCCTGGGAGCCCCTGCCCTTGCTGTACCTGGCTTTGGCGTTTACTGGCTGAGGGTTTCCTGCCTTTTCATGTGGTGGCTTTGCTTATTCTACACCTGGTGAATCATCCCTTTTACTGAGGTTTTTGGGGTGTTGATGGTTGCAGGGGATCAACAAAATTGCCCTCCCATGGCCCTTTTGCTTTCACCAGCCTGCCTCATCCAGACTCCGCCTTCTGTAATTGCCAGGGTCTCAGCTGGCGCCGAGGGCTGCAGCCACGATCTGCCCAGCCGCCTTTGTATTGAAGTTGTCAGTTTGGTTGAGGGAGCTCGGAGGCCGCTGAGCCCGATCCACTGCTGACTTTGCCTTGGGCAGCCTGTGGGAGAGCTTGGACTGTTAGGGGGTTTCCTCTTCTTTAACCTGAAATTGTCTTCCCTGCTCCTTCTCCCTGCTGGTGCTGAGTCTGCCACTTGGGCTCAGCAGAACGAGGCTCGTCCCACTTCTCCGTGCCAGCCCTCCAGGCCATTGAGGGCCTTCTCGAGGCCTGACGTGCCTGGCTTCTTCACTGATCCTTTTCTGCCATGTCCCTGACGCTGCTGCCTCTCCTGAACCATCTCCAGGCATCCTCCAGCCTATCCCAGCTCCTCAGGAAGCCAGCCACGTTGTCGGGCTCTCCTCATGCGTCTTCTTGTTGGTTCTGTTTCAAGACAACAATCCTGCTTGGGGTCCAGAAAGAACAAAGGCCCAGAGCCAAGATGGAGGCCAGTGGGGGCAGTGGAGAGGGGCTCCCAACCTCCCTTGGCCTCTCTGCCGTCTCGAGCATCCCATGTATGGGGTCCTCAGTCCTGGATACGAATAGGAGCCCTGCACACTTGTCACCGTCTGCTGTGGGACAGCTGTAGGTTCTTAACTCTTTGTCCCAAAAGCTGGGGTTCTAGACCTGGGTTCCATGGTCAACAGGATTTCAGCAGGATTGGCTTTCTTTGCAATCCTACATATTTTATCTTACGTCTTTACACCTGGGATTCTGAGAAGGATCCCTTGGTTCCACCAGACTGACTGCCCAAAGGGTTCATGACCCCCATGCAGATGCTCCAGAAAACACCCCTCCCTCCCCCCACACACCCTTCTTTTCTCCCAAGCATCTCTATGCCTCTGTTTGAGCTTGGTGTGACTTCACTTCTTCCCTCCAGATTTATGATTCAAGAGAGAATGTATGGCAGCTCTGGTCTCCTGACCTCCAAAGACCTTGGCTAACTCATGGGTGGTCTTGGGGCCTCCCCTCCTCTCAGTGGATTAAAAGACCGCCCAGACATGGGAGTCACTGTCTTTCCAGAGTCCTTTGGACGGATCCCTTTTGGACCCCCAGATTTCAGCAGCCCCTTCATCGACCTCAAGGCTGTCTCCCTCCTGGCCCCCTCCAGAAGCTGGTTAATCTCTCGGCTGTGGACCCATTTGTGACTTGGGGACCCAGCCATGTTACTTAGCTCGGCATTCAGGGCCTCCAGTCTGGCCCAACATCCTTCTTCAACCCTGCCCTCTGCCTGCTTCCTCGTGTGCCTCCTGATTTCTCACCATATCCCAACACATTCCTTTACCAGGACAGTTCCCATGGTCCAGAACCTTTCCCTCCTGGGCTCTCAGAGTTGAGCTCAGATCTCACCTCCAGGAAGCTTGTCTGGCCCAGTCCAGCCCCAAGAGCTCTCTTCTCCCCCTGGGAGCTCCTCCAGCCCTGACTCTTGGCCCCCCAGAGCTCAAATGATTCCCCCCTTGTACAGTGAGTGGCTCTGGGCCTCCAAGGCCAGCCCCACCCCTCCCATGGGGGAGCACGGCTGATCCCTCTCCCTCCTCTGCCTCCAGCCATCGAGGATGAATACAGTGGCCCCAAGCTAGAGAACGGCAGAGTGACCCTGAGCTTCATGCAGGAGCTCATGCAGTGGTACCGAGATCAGAAGAAGCTCCACAGGAAGTGTGCCTACCAGGTAATGGCCCTGGGAGGAGGCGGGGCCACTGGGGACCAGCCTCCTGCCCCGAGAGTGTCCTCCTCTGTAAGATGACCGCAATTAGGCAGCCACATCCCCTGAGAGGCCGTGTGCTGGAAAGCCCCATCCAGACAACGGGGAAGGGGCCCCTTGGGGGTTACCCCCCTTGCCTTGTGCTCATAGCCCAATCCCCCCTCAGATTTTGGTGCAGGTGAAGGAGATCCTGTCCAAGTTAACCACGCTGGTGGAGACCACGCTTAAAGAGGTGCCTCTGTGTTTGAGGGGTGGGAGCACCCTGGGGGGTGGGGGGGGAGGCAGCCCCCGGGCCTCCCTGAGGTGGGGTGAGGGCAAGGCGGGGCCCGGGGGCCCGGCAGGCACTTACCCGGTTTGGGTTTTGTCTCCCCTCGGCTCTCTCCGTCTCTACCCCCATCCTGGTCCCTCCCTCTGACCGCTTCTTCCTCTGTCCCCTTTTTTCTTGGGCCATCTTGGTATCTCCTCCATCCCAATGTGGTGTTTGTCTCTGTCTCCCACCTTCTCTCTCTCTCTCTCTCTCTCTCTCTCTCTCTCTCACCATTCCTGTCTCTCTCTTGCTCTCCTGGGTCTGTCTCCATCTGTCTCTGTGTCTCTCCCTCTTCCCTGGCCTCTTTTCTTTCAGACAGAGAAGATTACAGTCTGCGGGGATACTCATGGCCAGTTCTATGACCTGCTTAACATATTTGAGCTCAATGGTCTGCCTTCTGAGACCAACCCCTATGTATCCTTTCTGTGCCATTGGCCCAAACCGAGCTGCCCCCTTCTCCACGGGCCTGGGAAACTGGGCAGCTTCCCATGCTGGCGCTCCCCCAGACTCCCACACGTCTGGCCCCGGCCCTGCTCCTGGCTCCAGCCCTCCAGATGATCTCCCGGCTTCCCTCCAGCTTGGTGACTACAGGCCTCCTCTGGCCTGTGTATGCTGCCTGTCGGCTGCAGCTGCCGGCCCTAGAATCTGCTCGGGGTCGGGGAGGGCACCGGGCTTCTGCCCCTTCCTTGTTTTCCTGAGCCTCCTTGGGGTAGATATTTAATGGAGACTTTGTGGACCGAGGCTCCTTCTCCGTGGAAGTGATCCTCACCCTCTTTGGCTTCAAGCTGCTTTATCCCAAACACTTTCACCTCCTCCGAGGTAAGCCAGAGATGGGGGCTTGGGCACAGGCAGAGAGACCAGGGCAGGGGTGACAGCTGCCCGTTCCCGTGCCTCAGCCTCCAGCAGAACCTGGATTCTGGGACGCTGGTCCTCAGAGAAGCGTCGTTCAGGCCCTTCTGGGGTGGGGAGGCTCCCTGCGCTCCCCAGCAGGGCCCTTGGGAGGCGGGGCACTGAAAACCAAGGTTCTTGTCTCAGTTTGCCCTCATTCCTTAGGGGAGCTAGGGTACATCCCATTCCTTCTCTGGGCCTGTTTCCCCATCTCTGTATTGAGGGGGTCCAGGTAGTTTCTAGGACCCCTTCCGACTCTAGCATTCGATATTCTCCAGGCCTTTCTAGCTCTAAAATTCTCTGGTTCTCTGGTGATGCCCTAGTGGGGGTCCAGCTGAGTGCCAAAGCCCTGTTCCATGCCCAGCCTTAACAAGCAGGCCTGTGAGCCCAGGGTCTTCCCTCCATCCCTCAAAATCCCCCAGGGAACCACGAGACAGACAACATGAACCAAATCTACGGCTTTGAGGGGGAGGTGAAGGCCAAATACACAGCACAGATGTTTGAGCTATTCAGCGAGGTATTTGAGTGGCTACCCCTGGCCCAGTGTATCAACGGCAAGGTGCTGGTAAGCCTTTGTGGGACAGGGGCAAGGGGCCAGCCCTTGGGGAGAGGGGGAGGAAGAGGGGTGCCCTCACCAAGCCTCCTGCCTCCCCCAGATCATGCACGGGGGGCTGTTCAGTGAGGATGGGGTCACGCTGGACGACATCCGGAAGATAGAGCGGAATCGGCAGCCCCCCAGATTCTGGTGAGTTCTGCTGGGAATGCGAGGAAGGGAGCCTGGGTCTGGGACACGAGCTTGGGTTTTCAGACCACCATCTGCCTGTATGTGTGGCCTTGGACAATTCCTTCGGCCAGTTTTCCTCTTTGTAGAATAAGAGAGTTAGATAAGGTGATCACAGAGGCCCTTCCAGGGCTCTGTGGGCCTGCCTCGTCCCTGTCGGGGCTGACTGTTCAGTGACCAGACACCGAGGGCACCCTCCAGCCCAGCCACTGCAGGCGTGGGGGCGATGCCTCCATCAGAGAGAAGGCCCCAGAAAGGGAGCGGCAGTGGGCTCGGCTGTGGTTGGTGGGGGGTCCATTTCTCAGGTCCTGAGCCCCAGTAATTCTTTCTTCCTCTCCCTCCCCCTTCAAAAAACAGGCCCAATGTGCGATTTACTCTGGTCAGATCCACAGCCCCAGGTCAGTGAGTGCATGCCTTCAGCGGGGTCACTGGGGGCCGGGGAGCGCTGGCAGGTTGGGGCTGGGGTCTGGGGGGCCCGCTCTGAGCCTTCTCTCCCCCAGAATGGGCGCTCGGTCAGCAAGCGAGGCGTGAGCTGCCAGTTTGGACCGGACGTCACCAAGGCCTTTCTGGAGGAGAACCGGCTAGACTACATTATCCGCAGCCACGAGGTGAAGCCCGAGGGCTACGAGGTGGCCCATGATGGCAAATGTGTCACTGTCTTCTCCGCCCCCAACTACTGGTGAGGAAGTTCAGGCCCTTCCCCCGGCACCTTCGTCCTCTCCCGTCCCCATCTGCCCCGACCCCTCGGCCTCTCCTCCCTCCTGCCTGACCCGGCTGCTCTGTCCCGTGTCTCGTCCCACAGCGATCAGATGGGTAATAAAGCCTCTTACATCCACCTCCGCGGCTCAGATCTGCGGCCCCAGTTCCACCAGTTCACAGCAGTGGTGAGTCCCTCTGTCCCCGGGGATGCGGGCAGAGCTCAGGGGCCACAGGGAGGTACTCAGTGGGGTGGGAGGCCTGTCCTAGCTTTGCGCTGCCTTCCTCCCGACGCTGCGTCTCCTCTCGTCTGCAGCCTCATCCCAACGTCAAGCCCATGGCCTATGCCAACACGTTGCTGCAGCTGGGGATGATGTGAGGGGGGATGGCAGGGGCCTGGGCTGGGGCTCCACGGGAGCTGTCCGCTGCCAGCCAGGAGGCTGGCCTGGCCCAGAAGTTGGAGACCAGAGGAGTTCCACCTGCTTTTACTTTGTACACTTGGTATTTATTCCCCCACTTTGGTTCAAGGGGTGTGCATCCCCAGGACAATGGGCATTTGTGGGCTGGGGCTTCTAGGGGCTTGTTGCCCCAGGGCATTCTGGGAGGAGGAGGTGAGAGCTTGGGGAGGGAAGAAGGGCAGGGCCAGGGGAGCTGCTCCAACCCCCCTTCGTTTGCATGGCTCTGCCCCTTTTCCACCCAATCACTGAAGCAATAGGCCCCTCGGAGGGGCTGGGGGTCAGGGGTCCTCTGCGTTCAATCCACCAAGGGCTCTTAGTCTCCAGAGCCCCCAGGGAGGGGCTGAGAGCCAGGCCCGCCCAGAGCCCTCCCCTCCCACCCCAAGCTATTTTACTGTCTGTAATTAAATATGTTAAAATAAAGTCATTATTGTCTCCAGCCCCGCTGGGGGTGAATCCAACTTCTCTCTTGCTGTATTCCCCCGTGTATATGTAGGCCTTGGGATCCAGTCATGTTCCTTAGAATTCAGGAATATTAAACTGGAAGGGCCCGTGGAGATGGCCAGATCGATGCCCTCCTTTTCCCGATGGAGGAGCCGAGGCCCCATGCCACCTGGCCTCCAGGCCTTCCTGAGGCCCCTCTGGCTAAGGCAGTAATTAGGAAGAAGCCAAGCGGTGTCTGGTGCTGGCTAGAGAGGCCACCAGGCCAGAGCGTAGGCATCCTGGGGGACCCCTGCCACTGCTTCTGCAGGCCAAGGGTTGGGTGGATGGAGAGGCTTCTGGCTGGGCTAGGCTGAGAGGGGATCCCAGAGGGGATCAGACGACCGAGTGTGAGCCGAGAAAGGTCGCAGGGGGTGGGTGGACTCTGGGCTCCTGGTGCTTGGGCGGGATGGGTTCACAGAAGGGCACCCTAGGGCTCAAGGCTGCGGCCTGGTGGAATGCCTTTGACTTCCACGCTGACCAGGGTCCCCGTTGTACAGGGCTTAGCTGGGGATTTGCCTGAGGGTAAACGGTCACGGAGGAAGTGCCGAGGCTGGAACTGGCCAGCGGGGCACACACTCTGGCAGTTGTCCAGGGGAGGACACAGGGTGGTGGACTGTGTCGAATATCAGGTAGAGGGTGGTGCTCTGCTGTTAGCCTGCCAGCCCCCGAGCTCCCACCAGTGGGTTTTTGAGTGATGCCAGCCTTTCCACCTCGGGCTGTTCAGATGATGCCAGGGAGCCCCTTCATCAGAAATGAGGAAACGAGGGCCCCAAGCTACAGGTCTGAGCTTGCTGCCTACTCCCCTCTAGGGTGAGCCTGGACAAGTCACTTGCTGTGAAATGAAAGGCAGACTAGACTTAGGATCACAGAAGGTGAGGGCCTGAGCCAGCTCAGCATTGGAAGCCTGGCCAGCATGTGGCCTTGGCTGGGATCTCACCTCTCTGGCCCTCAAAAGCTTCTCTTCAGTAAAATGACGGAGTGGCACTGGACAGCCCCTAAGGTCCTGGCCAGCTCTAAAATCTCTGCCAGTCATGTATCTGGTCCAGCAATGCTGGGAGGGGGTGCCGCAGTTATCCCTGCCCAGGGTGACCCGACTGGTAAGTGTCTGGGCTTGGATTTGAACTCAGGCCTAATGGACTCTGTATCCACCGCTCCTAACAAAGCCAGCTCTCCTCGTGAGGAAGCTGTTCCTCATCTCCAGCTTAAACAGGCCTCTTCGTAACCTCCCCCCTGCTCCTGGTCCTGTCCTCGAGGGCAGAGCTAGAATGAGGCTAATGCCTGGTCCCTGGATGATGGCCTTCTGAATCCTGGAAGACAGCACCTCCCAGTCTTCTCCAGGCTTCTTTATGGCCTGGCTTTGGCGTCCTTCACCCGCCTGGCTGCTGCCTCTGACCTCTGCAGCTACTCCTGATCCTCTTACAAGGCCAGCTTTTTTGTTTTGTTTTTGTTTTTAAAGGCAACTGGGGTTGAGTGACTTGCCCAGGGTCACACAGCTAGTAAGTGGCAAGTATGCTCTGAGGCCGGATTTGAACTCAGGTCCTCCTGACTTCAGGGCTGGTGCTCTATCCACTGCGCCACCCAGCTGCCCCAAGGTGCCAACTTTTGAGTCAAAATCCATGATTCTCAGATTTTATGTCTACAATTCTGTGCTGATAAGTTTAAGTTTTGTGAGTCGTCCAAGGTCCTAAGGTCCCATGACTTTCAGATTCCATAATCCTGTGAACTCCAGGACACTGACTGCAGGTCAGAGCCAAGGGGGCATGGCAAGCCGTGGCATCATAAGGAGAGCAGGCGGGTTCTCTTTCCCCCCTTTCCTGCTCTTGGACATCCCCTGACCTTCCAAAAGACTTCCCTCCATCTCTTCCTCTGAAATGATTCTGGGATTCTAGGATCGGGGTCCGGGTGAGGCTAGAGATGGCCTGCCTCTCTTTATCTGGACCCAAAAATCCCACAGTCCCATTCCACACCGTCATGACTTAGGAACTCTGTCCTTCCCAACCAGAATTCATCCTCATCCTGATTCCTTTGCCATTCTTGATGGACCATATGGTCACATCCCTACAGTGGTGGGAGAGCTGAGGATATGGGATATACAAATTTCAGAGCTGGGAGAGCCCTTAGAGGATGTCAGAGCTGGGAGGGCCTTTAGAACAGAGGATGTCAGAGCTGGGAGGGCCTTTAGAAGCTGTCAGAGCTGGGAGGGCCCTTAGAGGATGTCAGAGCTGGGAGAGCCCTTAGAGGATGTCAGAGCTGGGAGGGCCTTTGGAACAGAGGATGTCAGAGCTGGGAGGGCCTTTAGAAGATGTCAGAGCTGGGAGGGCCCTTAGAGGATGTCAGAGCTGGGAGAGCCCTTAGAGGATGTCAGAGCTGGAGAGCCTTAGAGGATGTCAGAGCTGGGAGGGCCTTTGGAACAGAGGATGTCAGAGCTGGGAGGGCCCTTGGAGGATGTCAGAGCTGGGAGAGCCCTTAGAGGATGTCAGAGCTGGGAGGGCCTTTGGAACAGAGGATGTCAGAGCTGGGAGGGCCCTTGGAGGATGTCAGAGCTGGGAGAGCCCTTAGAGGATGTCAGAGCTGGGAGGGCCTTTGGAACAGAGGATGTCAGAGCTGGGAGGGCCCTTGGAGGATGTCAGAGCTGGGAGAGCCCTTGGAGGATGTCAGAGCTGGGAGAGCCCTTAGAAGATGTCAGAGCTGGGAGGGCCTTTGGAACAGAGAATGTCAGAGCTGGGAGGGCCCTTGGAGGCTGTCAGAGCTGGGAGAGCCCTTGGAGGATGTCAGAGCTGGGAGAGCCCTTAGAGGATGTCAAAGCTGGGAGGGCCTTTAGAACAGAGGATGTCAGAGCTGGAAGGGCCCTTAGAGGATGTCAGAGCTGGGAGGGCCTTTGGAACAGAGGATGTCAGAGCTGGGAGGGCCCTTGGAGGATGTCAGAGCTGGGAGAGCCCTTAGAGGATGTCAGAGCTGGGAGGGCCTTTGGAACAGAGGATGTCAGAGCTGGGAGGGCCCTTGGAGGATGTCAGAGCTGGGAGAGCCGTTAGAGGATGTCAAAGCTGGGAGGGCCTTTAGAACAGAGGATGTCAGAGCTGGGAGGGCCCTTAGAGGATGTCAGAGCTGGGAGGGCCTTTAGAACACAGGATGTCAGAGCTGGGAGGGCCCTTAGAAGAGGGAATGTCAGAACTGGGAGGGCCCTTAGAACAGGGAATGTTAGTCCTGAGAAAGACCTTAGGACTTGATACCAGAGCTGGAAGGGATTTTGGAGATCCTTCATTTTACAGGAGGGGAAACTGAGGCCCAGAGAGACACTCACACAGCAGGTTAGGCAGTGAGACCTAGCATTATGGACACCTTTGTCCTCTCAGACTGGGGTTGTTTCCCTGGACAGTGGCTACAGAAGCCCTGTCCCAGGGCCATTTAGGATTTTTTTTTGTCACAATGACTGTTTAAAAGAAGGAATATCCCAATCACACAGGCCCCTGTCTGCTTGTATTTTTTAAACTGAAAGGGGAAAAGTATAAGGAAATGACCTGGACATTTCCTGAGTGAAGGTGGAGTAGGAGGACTAGGGGAGGCTGTGGGAGCCAGCATACAGTGTCATCTCAGAGGTGCCTTTGAGAGATCATCTAATCCAAGCCTCCGATTCTCCAGAAGAGAAAAAGAGGAAAAGGTGTGCCCAAGGCTACGCACCCCAGAGCAGTGTCAGGCAGGGCACGTTAAAGAAAGAAGGACAGAAAGAGGAAAGGAGGAAGGAAGGGAGGATGGGAGGGAAGGAGGGAGGAGGGACGGTGGGAGGGAGGGACGATTTATTATGGAAGCACTTAAGCTTCCCTCCCCATCCTCCTCCTGTCTCAGACCCTGGGCTCTTCTCTGAGAGTACAAAGACAAAAGCGACCCAGTCCTTGCCTTCGTGCAGTTTAACCTTCTGGAGGGAGCCAAATGCCTTCAGGAAAATTTAATGAAGAGGGTAAGGAGAATTCAAGCAATGCATCTTCCTACCTGGGGTCCATCATCTGGGGATAAGTTTCAAGAAGTCTCTGAACTTGGGTGGAAGAAAAATTGCATCTTTCACTGACCTCTAACTGAAATTGGGCCTTTCCTTGCATTATCGTAGACAACGAGCATGGTTTGGAGAAGAGGCCTGTGGGTTCGCCACACTGCCCAGTAAAGAAGAGCAAGGACCCACGGCCTAGGGGATGTCACACCTGGCAGAGACCAGGAGCTCAGTGCTTGGGAAGGGCTCCCGGTTAGGATGGAGGAACTCTGCTCCTCGCTCCTTCTCTCGACCCTGGGCAAATCACCTGCCCTGTTTCCTCACCTGCAGATTGAAGGGATGGTCATGAAAACACACAATGGTCCACAAGAAGGGAAATCCACAGAAAGATCAAAACAAGGAAAGTGAACTTGATGGAACTGTGACCCTCAGGTGTCAGCCCCAGGGATGGCCCCAAAGCTGTGAGCAGCCCCTCTGGGATCCCAGGTCCTCTGATTCCAGTTGTTACCAATAACAACAATGACCCCCCCCCCCATCATGACTATGATAACAGCTGGCATTTACGGAGCCCTTGGTGGTTTGCAAAGCTCCTTCCAAACATCCTCATGACAATCCTGGGAGTTATTATCTTTGTTTTACAGATAAGGAAACTGAGGCAGGCCAAGGTGGAGTGACTTGCTCACAGTCACATAGCTAGTAGATGAAGTTGGATTTGAATTCAAGTGTCTCCTAGTCTCATTGACTAGGCCATCTAGCTACCAAAGATAAGGAAGTGTACTTTCCCCCCTTTGAAGAGGTGTGGAGGATTATGGGTAGGTGACCCTACACATAGACTCTCAGACTCAGCATGTCTCAGCTGACACATTGGCTAGTTTTGCTACAAGCTTTTTTCTCCAATTCTTTATTACAAGGAATAGATAGATGGATGGATAGATTTTTTGTTTTTCAGTTGTGTCTAACTCTTTATGGTCCTGGTTGGGGTTTTCTTGGCAAAGA